CCCATGCAGAAGCATATTTATTGTCACACCAAAGTTTTTAGAGTAAAGCAAGTTCCTCATACCAAAACACAGATCTAATCTCCATGCTGCTTTTCTCATTTTATTTATTTATTTATTTATTTATGTATTTATTTATTTTTGAGACACGGTTTCTCCGTAGCTTTCGGAGTCTGTCCTGGAATTAGCTCTTGTAGACAGGCTGGCCTCAAACTCACAGAGATCCGCCTGCCTCTGCTTCCTGAGTGCTGGGACTAAAGGCGTGCGCCACCACCACCCAGCTGATCACCATGTTTCTCGAAGGAGTACCTCACCCTTGCAGATTTAGCCCTTATTGTGCACCATTGCAGTACTCATTAATGCAAGGATTCCAGGTTTGCCAGGACTGTCTTGTGACTCTTCAAGGTCCAAGTCCTTCCAGAAAACAACTACTTCATTCTGATGTTTACATAGGTACAGTGACTCTAGATTTCCAACTACAGTGGAACTTGGAGGTAATTTCCAACTATAGTGGAACTTGGATATGATCTCTATGCCATGCTCCATGGTGTTAGTACTGGCCTGGGACCTGAGAGTCACATCTGTCTATCAAAGTGATTCAGCACAGGACTGAGTTGCATGGTATCAGTACCACCTTCAAAGGAACTGGAGACAGATCAACCACGTGGACAGCGATCTGTCTAAATGACCTACAGTAAAAACCGAATAAACTGGGCAGTGGTGGTGCATGCCTTTAATCCCAGCGCTCAGGAGGCAGAGGCAGGTGAATCTCTGTGAGTTCAGGCCAACCTGGTGTAGACAGTTCCAGGACAATCAGGGTTACACAAAGAAACCCTGTCTCAAAAACAGGAAAAACAAAACAACAATAAAAAAGGGAACACTTCTGCATTGCTGGTGGGAATGCAAGCTGGTACAACCCCTTTGGATGTCAGTGTGGTGATTTCTCAGAAAATTAGGAAACAACCTTCCTCAAAACCCGTAATACCACTTTTGGGTATATATCCAAAGGATGCTTAATCGTGCTACAAGGACATGTGCTCAGCTATGTTCATAGCAGCTGTGTTTGTCATAGCCAGAACCTGGAAACAACCTAAATGTCCCTCAACCAAAGAATGGTTAAGAAAAATGTGGTACATTTACACAATGGAGTACTACACAGCAGAAAAAAATAACGGCAGCTTGAATTTTGCAGGAAAATGGAGCTAGAAAACATTATTTTGAGTGAGGTAACCCAGACACAGAAAGACAGTTATCACATGTACTCACTCATAGGTGGTTTTTAAACATAAAGCAAAGAAAGCCAGCCTACAAACCACAATCCCAGAGAACTGAGACAACGCAGACACTAAGACTTACATAGATCTCATCTACATGGGAAGTAGAAAGTATAAAAAGACAAGATCTCCTGAGTAAATTGGGAGCATGGGGACCTTGGGGGAGGATTTAAGGGGGGAGGGGAGAGGCAGGGAGGGGAGCAGAGAAAAATGTAGAGCTCAATAAATATCAATAAAATTTTTTTAAAAAAAGTTAAAACTTTCCTTTTATTTAAACAGAAAAGGGGAGGTGATGTGGGATTCCCCTCTGTATGCTGTGAATATCATTGGTTAATAAAGGAATTGCTTTTTGCCTATAGCAGAGCTATAGGGGAACAGAGCTAGGCGGGGAAAACTAAACAGAATGCTGGGGAAAGGAGGTGGAGTCAGAGAGAAGCCTTGGAGCCACCTGAGACAGATGTGCTGAGACATTGCTGGTTGGCCATGACCTTGTGTTGATGCACGGATTAATGGAGATGGGTTAAATTAAGATGTAAGAGTTAGCAAATAAGAAGCTAGAACTAATGGGCCAAGCAGTGTTTTAATTAATATAGTTTCTGTGTGATTATTCTGGGGCTAAGTGGCCAGGAACCAACAAGCAGCTCTCTCCTCTTACAAGAGTGAGTTCTAGGCAGCCAAGGATACATAGAAAGATCCTGTCCCCAAAAAATAAACAGACCATATTACATTTGTATTTATATTGTGTGTGTGTGCTTTGAGGTTTTGTTGTTGTTTTTGTTTGCTTGCTTTGTTTTATTTTGTGGGGGTGCTTCAGGGGTGTGGGAAGAACATGGGGGAACTGGAAGGTGAACAGAAATTGGGTGCATGATGTGAAACTCCCATAAAAAGGATATTAAATTTATAAAAACAAAGTTGGGTAGTGGCGGGCAGATCTCTGTGAGCTCCATGCCAGCCTGGTCTACTAAGCAGTTCCAGGACAGCCAGGACTACACAGAGAAAGCCTTTCTTGAAAAACCAAAAACAGTAACAACAAAAATCATACTCTTGTGTATCAAGAACCTCAAAGCAGTGTTTTTGGGAGAAAGGAGTCTCAAGTAGATCAGCTGAGGCTGGACTTGATATCCTGACCCTCAGAGTGCTTTGAGTATAAGCATCTGCCACCATACCCGCCTCAAAGAGTGCCTAGTGAGAACTTTCTAAAGTATGTACACAGAGCTACCAAAAAGATTAGAGCCTCCAAATGGTGGCACACACCTTTAATCCCAGCACTCATGAGGCAGAGGCAGGCGGATCTCTGAGAGATTGAAGCCAGCCTGGTCTACAGAGCAAGTTCCAGGACAGACAGGCCTACACAGAGGAACCCCATCTCAAAAACATAAAACAAAACAAATTGATTAGTCCAATAAATTCCATCACTGATAAAAAGATTTGGCCAGTGTTTGGATAGCTGTTTCCTCTAGGTTGACATGGTCAAAGTCAGAAGCAGCAGAGAAGCAGCCCACACTGCCACTAGTAGCAGACTCTTTTTCAGAGAGCTCCACTGGGGTAAAGGCTAGAAGGATTTCAGGACATGTCAGGATAAAAAGGTTTATCAGATTTTTGAGATGGATATATCGCATTCTAATTTTATTACACCTTAATGTGGGGGGCTGTGAGGTGCACATCACAGAGTTTGTGTGAAGGTCAGAAGACAACATATGGAACCAAGTTCTTTCCTTTCACTATCTGGGTCTTGAGACCTTTATTCAGGTCTTTAGATTTGGCACCATCATCTTTACTAGAGCCATTTCTCCAGTCCTGTGCCTGGAGCATCTCCACATGAACAGAACATCATGCCTGGAGGCAGTCTTCACAACAAACGCTGGTTGTGTTGGAATTCTCTGCTCTCAGCTAAAGACTTTAATGAGACTTGAGGGTGACAGGGCAATATACTTTGCTTTTTGGTTATTGTTTTTCCAGAGAGGGTTTCTTGGTGTAGTCTGGCGGTTATGGAACTCACTCTGTAGACCAGACTGGTCCACCTGCCTCTGCCTCCCAAGTGCTGGGAGTTACATTGCTTTCCTTCTTTTTTAGGGTTTGTGGGGTTTTTGTTGTTGTTTGTTTTTTTGGTTTGGGTTTTTTCAAGACAGCGTTTCTCTGTGTAAGAGCTCTGGCTATCCCAGAACTCAACTTTGTAAACCAGGCTGGCCTCAAACTTACAGAGGTCTGCCAACCTGACTCTGGAGTGTAGTCAGACATTTCTCTCCTGACTGCCAGTTCCCAAATAGCCACTCAGGGGTTTAGTATTACTTCTAAATGCTAGGCCAATAGCTCAAGCTTGTTACTAGCTAACTCTTACACTTAATCCATGCTTCTTATCTATGTTTTGCCATGTGGCTCATGGCTTGTTACCTCATTTTCTATATATACTGCTTCCTCAGTGGCTGGCTGGCTGACACCTCTCCTCCTGGTGTGTGCCACCACAATATCCTGGAACTCACTTTGTAGATCAGGCTGGCCTCCAACTCACAGGTCCTCCAGTCTCTGACTTCAAGTGCTGGGACTAAAGGAGTGTGCTACCACTGCACGGCTGACTTTACTTTCTTACACCCTGTTTCCTTCTCTGCCTCAAGAATAGCTCTGAGTTTCCACACGGGACAATCTGAGATTATACCTATGAACATTCCCTTGCAGAGCAGAGGGGGACTCACAGGCCTCCACAGGAGATCCTCAAGACTCAGAAGTCCGACAAGCATGTAGTGACCAATCCCAGACTGTCCTCAACAAGGCCAGTTATACAGGGGATAGTGAAGTGTGTGAAAGGAGCTGCAGGGAACCCAGTAGCCGTGGGATTTCATGTCCTTGTCTCTTTTCTCCCTTTCCTCTTCTGCAATGCTGAAGTTCAGACCCAGACCTCTTGCAAAGCAAACTGAGCACAAAACACAGAGGTGTGTGTGTGTGTGTGTGTGTGTGTGTGTGTGTGTGTGTGTATTAATATATAGCCCTAGTACTGAACTGCTTTAATACCAGCACTCAGTAAGCAGAGGCAAGTAGATCTTTGCGTTTGAGGCCAAAGTGACTTCTAGGACTGGACAGTCAGGGTTAAAAAGGGAAACCATGTCTCAAAACAAACAACAAAACAACAACATAAAACGAAGAAAAAGAATAAATCTTTTCCTAAAACGAATATACAGGACTGACAAGATTGTGAACACAGGGACCATCCTGCCTCTTGAAAGCTGGGGTTACGTGTGCGCCTCCACACCTGGCTTAAGTCTAGAATGCTTAAAGAACTTTTCTGCCTTGTAATTTAAGAAACACTTATTTAATTCCTGATAAAGCTTTTTTTCTGGTAACAATATTAATTTTTCATGTATCAAGGTAATCAATGCCCTAGTCTGGCCTCTGCAGGCACCAGGGACATATGTGACACACAGACTACATGCAGACAAATAAATAAATACACATTAAAATACATAAAATTTATTCTGTAAACTTTAAAAAGATGCACACTATATGTATGCCCCCCAGCACTTGGGAGGCAGAGATAGGAAGATCTCTCTGAGAGTTCAAAGGTCAGCCTGGTCTACAAAGCAAGTTCCAGGAGAGCCTGGGTTATACAATGAGACTCTGTCTTAAAAAACTCACAAAGATACACCAGCAATACTTCTCTTACATGTGTACAATATAAAAAGGAGTATAGAAAAAGCAAAACAATGTATTCAAGAAAAGATAATAATCTGAGACCAATCCAGACTGAATTAACTTTATTCTGTAAGGAATTTAGAGACCTTGAGCAAATATTGATATTGCATTAAAAACAAAATTTGTACATCATCCAAACTTTAAAAATCAAGTCAGTATTGATACTAAAAAAATGTACTAAGCAATATTTCATTTGCGAACAAAATACTATCAGTGTTTCTTCACAGCGAGATCCACAAACAGAAAATTCGAAATGATATAACTTTTGGGCCTCAACGAGACCCGGCGAGTTTCGGGGAGCACCATTGAACCAGTGTGACTGCCATGTACTCGTAAGGTAACAAACTAAGGCGGGAACAAGTGTGATGACCAGAATTCTGGTGTGAAGTTGAGTTTCATGATATTGTTATAGGTATTTCTTCTACTTTCTTCCTTCAAGAGAAATAACTGGATATGTGAAGGTATAAAAATTATTTCCCAATTATATTTTACCTTTCCAGGACAAAGACACTTATACTTAACAAACAGAATGCTCACCTGTCAATACGGCTATTAACTATATTAAAAATGTTTGACTGTTCTTTAGATTTAATCACTAGAATTACAGACAGATATGAGCTGCCATGTGGGTGCTGGGAACTGAACCTGGGTCCTCTACAAGAGCACCAAGCGCTCTTAAGGAATGGATCGCTGATGTGGGATTCCCCTCGGTATGCTGAGATTCTGGGCAGCCGGGATGAACAAGCGGCTCCTCACTACAGAGCACTGCTCTAGCCTTAAAAGTATTTAACAACTCTAGTATACTCTGACTTAAAAACCTCTAAATCAAGAATATATACATATATATTTGTTTGTTCTCTTGTTTATAAGACAGGGTCTCACTGTATAGTACTGACTGGCCTGAAACTCATTATGTAAAATAGGTTGGCCTTGAACCCAGGGATCATCCTGCCTCTACCTCCTAAAGGTTGGGATTACCTGTGTGGGTTTAAGTCAAGGATGCTTAAAGAAACTTTCTACCTCTTAATTTAAGAAGTATTTATTAAATACCTGAGAAAGCTTTTTTTCTGATGACAATATGAAGTTTTCATATATCAGGAGTATTGAAAGTAGTTTTAGGTTATCCAATTACACCACTCAGAATCAGACCCCAAAAGTTCTAAAGTACAAATCTTGGGGGGTTTTGTGCACTAAATTTTACCAAGAGAGACTGTAGCCTGAAACTCAAATACCAGTATTTCATGTAATTTGCTTGTTTTCTTTTATTATATTTGTGTGCATATGTGCGCTTGTGCTCATATATGCGCACATAATGCGTGACAAAGAACAACTTATACTTTGTGCTATGTGGATCATAGGGTTGAACTCAGGTGACCAGATTTGGTAGCACAAACCTCACCAACTGAGTCATCCGAGTCACCTCATCTGCCTAAGAACCAGCACTTGCTTTTTCCTTGTGTTAGACCTGGGGCACACTTAAGCAAGTGCACTACCACTGACCTAGATCCCCAGCCTTGTTCTTTTGTTGTTTTGTTGTTTTATGTTTTTGTTTTCCAAGACAGGGTTTCTCTGTGTAGCCTTGGCTGTCCGAATTAGCTCTGTAAACCAGGCTAGCCTAAACTCCCAGAAATTTGCCTGCCTCTGCCTCCTGCAAGGTTTCATTATGTAAGCCCAGGATGGCCTCAAATTTATCATCTTTCTGCCCCCATCTTGGGTTCTAGGATTACAGGCATTCACCACCTGTCATGTTGTAATGGGGAAAAATTCATAACCTACTCAATCAGTCTGAAGGAAAATTAGACTAAAAGCAGTAAGGTATTTATATATAGCACAGTATAGCTGTCTAAAGAAACACTTTGGAGGGAAAGGAATCATATTTTTAGTATAATAAGGCCACAATCACTTTCTCTAAAAGTAGGCAAGGACGAATTAGCACTCAGGCACAGTCAGAGCTGAGAGGGAACCTGAAATAGTAACATTGATGCAGCTGAGGGTGGCAATCTCAAGCACTAGAGAGGTAGACACAAGAGGATCACAAGTTCAAGGCCAGCCTGTGCTACAAAGGGACTCTCTCAAAAGGAGGGAAAATAAAAGAAAGAAATGCAAAAATCTCATCATGTTGCTTATGTTTAATTTTACAAAACCAAAGGCAAACCAACTACTACTCATTTCTGATGAAAAAATTAAAATAAAAACTCTGAACCTATTTTGTGAATGTCTACTGTAACATTCTTTGATCCTGTTTATGAGTTCCAGTCAGTCAAACAGAGGAGGTAAGCTTAAAAGGCAGCAACAAACATGACAAGGACTTCACCTTTCTTAGATGATCACATCACATTTTCAGTGACAGAGGAGAGGTCAGTGGCCCTCAGTGACTGACAGACTTTATTAGTACATTCAATACAACACCCCACTGTTTCCAGACTCTTAAATATTGGTACCAAAGGTTGACATAAAGGAGTATCGCACTCTGAAAAGAGGTCTGATTGGAATGGGGTTTGGACCAGTGTGGGGCAGTACTTACTGACAGGCGACTTCTGTAACAAACAACTAGTTTCTTGTATTTAAAAAATAAGCAAGACAGAACTTTCAGGGTCTTACTTTACAATACATTGTAAATGTCACAGACCAGCACAGGTACAAAGTGGCTCCGAGTGGTTTATAATACTTTGTATCGTCCTTTATTTGTTGGTTGGTACGAATTTTGCTATGAGAGAAAATAAAAGGAAGATTAGAAAAAGCACACATAAAAAAGGTGAATGTTTAAGATTATTTTCTTTTTAACAATTTGTTACATTATCTCATAGCCAAAGTAAAAAGGCTGTTACTGAGTGGAGGCAGAGGGATAGCTCAGTAAAGAATTTGTTCTCTTTGTTCACCCCGCATTCTTTCCCTGATAACTCTGTAGTCTCAAAGCATGAAGTTCTTTTTCTATTACTGTTAGGTGAAATAATCTCAAAACCTTTGTACACTACTATATTATTAATACATTTTAAGAAACAACACATTCAATAGCCCAGACTAACCCTGAATTTACAAAATCCTCTTGGCCAGCCTGCTAAGCACTGGGATTACCAGTATGAGTCACCATACTTGGCTTGAGCCCTTGACTTAAAGCTTGTTTGTATTTTCTCTTGTTTTGTATACCTTCTTTTTAAAAAACTATTTCCCTGGGTTAGAGAGATGGCTCAGCAGTTAAGAGCACTAGCTGCTCTTCCAGAGGATCTAAGTTCAATTTCAGCACCCACACATAGCTCACAACCGACTGCAGCTCCAGTTCCAGGGGATCTAACAGCCTCACACAGGCATTCATTCATGTAGGAAAAACACCAATGCACATAAGATAAAAAAAAAAATTGTTAACAAAAAATATTCCCTGCCTTAAACTGGGCACTGGCATTGAATCACAGCACTCTGGAGGCAGAAGTAGGTGAATCTCTGTGAGTTTGAGGCCAGCCTGGTCTATATAGTGAGTTCCAGGACAGCCAGAGTTACATAGAGAAAACCTGCCTCCAAAAAATTAAAAAATAAAAACTTAAAAATCCCCCCAAAAGATTTCTTTGTATAAATGGAATTTCAGAAAAGCCCCCCAAACGCAGAAGCTGCTGCATGGAGAGTTTATAGCCCATAACTGGTACTTAAGATCAATGATGTATCTGTGGCTCCCTTAGAAAGGTTATCTTTAGTAGGTTTTTCTTTTTCCAAATTTAACTCACTGCAAACTTTAAAATACTGGCCACACCATGGGTTGGTCAGGACACAGAATAACTGGCATTTTCAGATGCTCCAATGAGTAAAAACTGGTAAATCCTTTTGCAAAACAATGTGGTAATAACACCTACTAAATAGAATGACTATATGGTACTTAAAAATAGAAATTCTATTCCAAAGTGTATATTCAATAAAAAGATGCATTAATGTATAGCAAAAAGTCAAAGATGGTTCACAGTTATGTTATTCATAAAAGTCAAAAGCAGAATACTCTCAAGTCCAGTATGTAAGTAAACTGCAATGTATGTAAACAATTAAATAGCATGCAGGTATGAAAAGGCATGCATTATTGCTACCTGCAACAATAGCCTGGCCTCCTCAGTATAATGCTGAGGCATGAAGAGTAGACAGCATGTAGCCCCACTATGCAGAGGTAAAAACACATAAAACTAATGGAAGCCAGAGGCCAGGCTTCTATTCTAGATGGAGCAATGATCTGCATTTCTTCATTTAGATAGTGACTACACTCAAGTGCCTACTCCAAAATTTCATCAAGATATATTTATGCGAGGCTGGAGAGATGGCTCAGAGGTTAAGAGCCCTGGCTGATTTCCCAGAGGTCCTGATTTCAATTCCCAGGAACCATATGGTGGCTCACATACAACCATCTATAATGAGATCTGGTGTCTTCTTCTGGCATGCAGGCATGCAGGCATGCATGCAGATAGAATACTGTATACATAATAACTAAATCTTTTTAAAAAAAAGACTTCTGTGTTGGGACAGGGTCTCAAATCCCACCAGGCTGGCTGTGAAACTCAACTGCTTCCATGTCCCAAACACCGGGATTATAGGTGTTCAGCTGGCAAGACAGGTGTTTATGATTTCTATGCCTGTGTGTATTAAAGTTCGATAAACAGTCACTGAAACAAATAAGGCCCGAGGGTTTCACTTACCAGTCGGATCAGTTCTTCTTTTATGAGCCTGGTGATTTCTGCCTTTGCTTTCTGCACAGCCAGCTCGTTGGCACCTGATGATTGAGTAGAAAATGTATGGTTCATTCTACTGTTCTCCACTGAAAGGAGGTCCAGGAGACCATGCTTCAGGTAATGTTAGGAAGTGTACTACTTGCCAAGATAGTGAACTGGTAACAGCTGGGTTACTTTCTAACTTAAATGCTGACCAAAGTATTTGACCTAACAGAAGTGTGTCAAGCCTGTGCTCACTTGGACAGCACATGCACTAAACTATGAAGATGCAGAGAAGAGAAACACGGCCCCTGAACAAGGATGACACACAAAATCATGAAGTGCTCAGTATTTAAAGAAAAGAAAATGAGTATGTCCTTAAAATTTGTACCTTCTTTAAAGCAATTTTCAAACGTAATCCCCACAATAGGTCTGTCAGCTTTAAATGTATACAACCATATTCCGAACTTCTAAGACCTCAAGTGACACATGGTCACGGATTTCTTAGAGGTGTCCCTATTTTCAGTTCTCTCCTACTATCAACTTCATACTGACTCGTGTTACACCTACACCAACCCTGATCTAACTCAGGTGTCACACAAAAGCAACGGTACGTACTTTCAATCGCCAAGTAAATTTTCCGTTCTCCTTCCTTGGGCTCTTTGCCAGGAGGGAAGTAGGTGCCTCTGATGGTGATGGCGGCTTCCGAGTACTCACTGATTCTCTGCAGGGCTTCCTTAGAGGTGACTTTCCACCTCGCCGTCTAAAAAGAAGGTTTGGAGACTCAAATCACAACACAGAAGTCTGAGTTGAGGGCAGGTGAGATAGATGCTCAGTGGATATGAGTTCCGCTACCCAGGCTAACGACCTGAGTTCAAGCCCTGAACCTGCCTGGTGGAAGGAGAAAACCAACTCCTGCAAGCTGTCCTCTGACTGACACGCCCATCCTAATCCCTGTGCTCCTCCAACTCCCAATACATAATATCACACAATTAATCTAAAATTCTGGGCTGAAAAAGAATAGATTCACTAGGCAGTGGCGGTGCACGCCTTTAACCCCAGCACTGGAAAGCAGAGGCAGGAGGATCTCTGTGAGTTTGAGGCCAGCCTGGGCTACAGAGTTCCAAGATAGCTAGGACTACACAGAGAAACCATGTCTCAAAACAAAAACAAAAAGGAAGGAAGGAAAAAAAAGAAAGAGAACAGATCACAGATTCACTATTACTCTCCCCTATATTGGTAAAAGTCAGGCATTTAATGTTCACTTAGAAACAATCCTGTCTCAGGGGCTGGAGGTCCAGATCAGCACTGAAGTATTGTCTGTGTGTACAAAGTCCTAGGTTCTCCTCTAGTGCAGGAAAAAATAAGAGACAGGACTAGAGGTGTGCACTTGTCAACCCAGCACCTGTGAGGTCAGGCCCTACCTCAAAAAAAAAAAAAAAAAAAAAAAAGAAAAGAAAAGAAAGAAACAAACTAAGAACAACAGAGCCAATAGTTCATGTGTTTTAAGGAAAGGGTTCTGAAAGAAGCATTTCTACTTCACAATATAAAAACCTTTATATTTGTTACTTGCCTGTGGGAAGTCATTAATTTCTAACTCTTCCTCGTATCTCTTGAAAGATTCGCTCTGCCCACCCTCCTGCCTCTCCTCTTCCTGTTTCTCCAAAGGCACGTAATTGAGCTTGGCATTGATCTTTTCAGCAAGCTGTTCTGCAATGGTTTTTGCCGACACTGTGGGAGCCAGAATGGTGCCCCCTCTGAGAATGGCATTGGTGGCTTGCTGCATTACATCCTGCGGTTTAAGAAGACCTCCAGTTAAACCTCAGCTGCAGAAGAGAGAGGGCCAAGGGCCTCACCATAAATGATTCTCCCCAAAGCCACTAATTCCACTTAATAAACAGAAAGTATCTTTCTAAAGCAATCCCTCACACAGTGTGAGTGCATAACTGATACTGTCACTTTCCTCTCATGCTGATGAGAAAACTGAGGGACAGTCACTGTAGATACGGAGCATTAGCTAAGGCGCAGCACGCAGAACATAACACGGCTTTTCTAAAATCGCATACCTTGTGACGAGTGCCATTTCTACTTCGTTACAATGCCTGTGTGGCCATCATCACTGACTGAGCCTTCCCCTACCCACAATGAACCAACCAAAAACGCAATAACTTATCATTCTTTGGGCATGCTATAAAAATTCTGTTTGTTGGGTGGTGTTGGTGCACACCTTTAATCCCAGCACTTGGAAGGCATAGGCAGGTGGATCTCTTTGAGTTCAAAGCCAACCTTATCTACAGAGCAAGTGCCAGGACACACTCCAAAGCTACAGAGAAACCCTGTCTCGAAAAACCAAAGCCAAAGCCAAAAAAAATCAAAACCTTCTGTTTTACTTGGTAGTAAGCAGTGCCCAGCACGATGGCTCACTCCTATAATCTCAGGAGCAGGAAAGGAGAAACTGTCAGCTCTGGGTTGGCTGAGAATACAGACCCGGTGTCTAAAAAACACAACCTCAGCTAGGCATGGTGCCACACACCTTTAGTCCTAGCACTCGGTAGGGTAGGCAGAGACAAGGGGATCTTTGTGAATTGGAGGCCAGCCTGATCTACATAGTGGGTTTCTGGACAGCTAGGGTTACACAGAGAAACCCTGTCTCAAAAAAACAAAAAACAAAAAAACACTCAACATCAGGTCACCAAAGAAAAACAGTTTCCGATTATGGAGCATTCGGGATCAGGATGCGCATCTACTCTCTATGAGCTGTCCACAACTCATGTGCCTTATGGGGTTCTACAAGAGGCACACAGAGATGCTCCTGGAGGGGACCCACACTAAAGTGGGGTCTGAAGCATGTGGGGCACACTGGTCATCCTGGCACATGGGAAGCAGAGATAGAAGGACCAGGAGAGGGTTCCCTTGGCTACACAGAGGGCTCGAGGCCAGCCTAAGCTACAAAAAAACCCTGCTTCTTTAAAAACGAAAGACACTTTCCACTTTGAACCATCACTCTAAAGATTCTCCTGTCACAGCAACAGGAAGAATGACTAAGACTCGGAACAAATTACTTAATACCTGAGACTCGATGCCTAGGTTCTTCTGAGCGTTGATTCTAAGAGCCAGCCTCTTGGCAATCTCTAGCTTCTCAGCGTTGCCTGCGGTGGGGGCAGGCACACTAGATGTGCCAGGTGCAGCCATGTCTTTTACTCTCTTCTTTGAATTAAACATGCTCTCAATCTGTTCATCAATCTAAAACAAGAGAAAACGAAGAATTAGTAAATACTGGGTTAGAAATATTAATTTAGTTGCACCTACACAAAAAGAAATGTTTCCACAAAAGGTTAGAATTAGTTAAATTTACATAAATTCAAATACATGAATCAACAGAAAAAACAAACCAACTCTTCACTATCTTTTCTTTCAAAAATTTATTGTCTGTGATAGAAAAATTAAAAAAAAAAAGACAAAATCAAAAACAAAGAAATCTGCCATACTATAAGACTGCAGTAATCAGACTTCTGATAGGCAAAAAAAGAAAAGAAAAAGAAATCCATCCTCATCTTGTCAGTGAAGAAACACAGGTTCTCAAGTCAGAGCAGCAGAAATGATGCACTGAACTGTTCCAGGGCTCAGGCACTGAGCCCAAATTGTTCTATGATGATAGAAGGTGGAAGGGCTGTCACTCAAAGCCCGCGAGTCTCAGAAGGAATGATGCAGTGCACTCCTAAGCAGGACTCCCACCCCTAACTCCTGAAACGAGGATTTTTCTTTTTCTTTTGAGACAGGCTGTCATGTAGCTCAGTCAGATAAACCCACTGAATAGCTGAGGATCACCCTCAATGCTTTTTTTTTAATTTATTCATTTTATTTGATGTGTGTTTTGCCTGCTTGCATATATATGTACCATGTATATGCTTGGTGTCTGAGGAGGCCAGAAGGGGACTTTGGTTCCCCTGAACTGCAGTTAGAGAGGGTGGTGAGCCACCATGCAGGCACTGGAGGAACTGAACCTGGGTCTTCCAGGAGAGCAACAAGTGCTCTCAACTACGGAGTCCTATCTTTATCCTGACCGTGAACTCCTGAACCTTCTCCTCTCCCTCTTCCAAGGGCTAGGACTGCAGGTTTGCAGCTCCACACTCAGTTCTTGCACTGCTGGAGATCATACCAGGCTCCCAATTGCCAGAAAGCACTCTAATAACTGAGTCCTTCTTTTAAATGAAGAAAAATGGGTCAGCAGAGAGGCATATACTTCTAATCCCAGCACTCTATAGAGACTGGGATAGAAGGATCAACAGTCGGAGGCCAGAGCAGGCTGCATAACAACAACCTGTCAAACAAACAAGAAAGAAAAGGGACAAGGAAGGAAAGGAAGGCTTCCCTATGACGCAAGAGAAACAATGAAGCTTTCAATTCTCCAAGCCAGGAACCCTAGCGTAGTTATCTATACTGCCATTAAAAAAAGGAAAATCAGCTGGGCGGTGGTGGCGCACGCCTTTAATCCCAGGCAGAGGCAGACGGATCTCTGTGAGTTCGAGGTCAGCCTGGTCTACAAGAGCTAGTTCCAGGACAGGAACCAAAAGCTACAGAGAAACCCTGTCTGGAAAATCAAAAAGAAAAAGGAAAATCACCTGCTATTAACTGTGTGTGTGCCTCAATGGACAACACATAGAGTCAGCTCCCTCCTCCCATCTTTACATGGGTTCTGGGGATAGAACTCAAGTACCCAGGCTTATATGGCAAGGGCCTTATCTGAGCCATCTCACCAGCTCCCTTGTCTTGTTTTAAATGTCTTTGAGCACGGCTTGGTGACACACATCAAAATCCTGTCTCAAAAACAGCTGGTGAGAAGGCTCAGGGGTCAAGGCACTTGCCATGTAGGCCTGCTGACCTGAGTGATGCTCCAGAATCTACAAGGGAAGAGAGAACGGGGTCACCTATGCTGTCCTCAGGCCCCAACACACATGCCATAAACACACACACACACAAAATTAACTTTTAGAATAGAATTGAAAAAAGGACAAAACAAAAAAGGACACTTTGACCCAGGAAACCTGCCCTGTCTGTGTCCAGTCCTGAACCAATACTCTCACTGGTTTCAGTGTTCTCAACAGCCTGGTCAGGCTAAACCTACTTACAAGACGATGTCTCAACAGAGGTCATCTGTGGTTATATGAAAAAGTCTGCTGTGCTGCCCAGGCTGACCTTGTACTCTGGGGTCACTGCTCCTGCCACAGTCCTCTGAGCAGCTGGTAAAGTCACAGATTACCACGTCTAGCTTGGAATAATTTACTATGATGTGTAAAAAATGTCCTCCTACGAACAAGCATGCTGGAAACTTCAAGAGGCTCCCTTGACTACTTCTCAACGTTCACAAACTTCTCCACGGCACACACGCAGGGACCTTGATACTTACATCAACTGCAGCGTCCTCATCATCTGAATCTTGCAGGCCAAGAGCAGCTTTCTGTAACTTCTTCCTCTCATTGGCTAACGCCTGTTCTGTTTCATCAAACTTGAATCCCTTGCCAGAGAAACCACTACTCTTTTTAATTATTTTTCCTTCCTTTTAAAGAAAAGTTAACAAAGATAATTTTTAGAGTAAAAACTATTAAATATTTTCAAAGTAGAATATAGCAACTTAACAAAAAATAAGCAAAAGAGAAGATTCTAGTTTCGTTATTTTCCCTTCTAAAAATGTAAGTGAGCCGGGCGGTGGTGGCGCATGCCTTTAATCCCAGCACTCGGGAGGCAGAGGCAGGCGGAACTCTGTGAGTTCGAGACCAGCCTGGTCTACAAGAGCTAGTTCCAGGACAGGCTCCAAAACCACAGAGAAACCCTGTCTCGAAAAAAAAAAAACCAAAAAAATAAAAAAATTTAAAAAAAATAAATAAATAAAAATGCAAGTGGCTGAATGTGCACCCTTAATATGAGCACTCGTGAGGCTCATATACATCTGAGAGTTTGAGGCCGAGTACTTGGTACTATATACCAAGTACTAGGACAGTCAGAGCTACATAGAAATACGGGCGGGGGGGGGGGGGAGCAAAAACAGCAAAAAAAAAAAAAAAAAAAAGCTAAGCTATAAGTGAACACAATTACCAGTCACGTCAATGACTCATATAAGGAAGTTTAAGACTCACTGCTTTCTGTTGATCTTTGAAGTCACTCCAGAGCTTTTCCAGGTCAGGAGGCACTGCTGTCCCTGACAATTCAAGAGCTTTAATTATATCACCAGCATAGCGAGCTTGATCTTCTGTGATGAAAGTGTAAGCATAGCCCTAATGAAAATGAGGAAATAGAATTAAATAAGATGATTTAAAATCAACACAAAAACCCAGCACCTTAGTTGTAAACAAGTAACAAACCTACTGACAAGAAGATGAGGAATACCTCATCCACAGATCCCAAAAAAAAAAAAAAAAAAAAAAAAAAAAGCCGGGCGGTGGTGGCGAACGCCTTTAATCCCAGCACTCAGGAGGCAGAGGCAGGCGGATCTCTGTGAGCTCGAGGCCAGCCTGGTCTACAAAGGGAGTTCCAGGACAAGCTCCAAAGCTACAGAGAAACCCTGTCTCGGAAAAAAAAAAAAAAAGTCTAGAAATAAGCCTAGCCAAAAAGGCAAAGATTTCTACATTGAATACATTAAAACTCTGAAGAAGCGTTCTGTTCGTATGGTGCTTGCCCAGTGTGCACAAACCCTGGGTTCCATCCCACCACACAGGTAGAGGCAGCTACACAATCAATTCTAGGCACACCTAAGGTATGAGACCCTGTCTCCAAAAAGAAGAAATTGAAGACGACAATACAAGAAGGAAAGACCTGTCAGGAAGGATTAATAAAGTGAAATTGCTATATTACTGAGACATGATAAACAGACTCAATATAATTCCCAGACAATTCCAATGACACTTATTATTGACCTAGGAAAAACAATACTAAAATTCACATGGAAACAGAGGATGGCAAGCAGCCAAAGCAATACTAAGAAGAACAATTATTTAGATATCATAATTCTATCTTTAGTTCAATACACATTTTTTTAACACCATAAACTGAGCTTTGTAAACAACCAGCGGATACTGGGGAAGCAGAGGCAGCTGGCTGCAGTTCCCAGTTCAGGTCATTCTCTCTGCCATTCCATGGATGAAATGCATTCTCTCGATTCCAGACTCTGCTGGAGGAGATTGACTTTCAGCCTCTGTCTCACTGCTCTCTTCCCACACTGTCACATAGAGATAGTCCACTCCTAGGCTTGCACACACCAGTTTTTTATTTGGGTTCTGGTAATTGAGTTCAGGTCCACAATGACAAGAGTCATCTCCCAGCTCAACATTGTTAGCAGGGAAAGACAAGTTAAAACTACATTGATACTCCATTTCATCCCAGTCAAAATGGCTAACATTAAGAAAACAAATGACACCAGGCAGTGGTAGCGCATACCTTTAATCCCAGCAGTTGGGAGGCAGAGGAGGTGGATCTCTGTGAGTTCGAGGCCAGCCTAATCTATAGAGTGAGTTCCAGGAAAGGCTCCAAAGCTACAGAAAAAAAAAAAAAAACCAAAAAAAAAAATCCTATCTTGGGGGAGTGGGGGGAGACAACAAATGACAGAAAATATTACACTATTCACAACTGCTAAGCAATAGAACCAGCACAGATGCATCAGCAGGTGAACAGATAATGAAAATGTGGCACAGACACACAGCAGAACTTTACACAGGTATAAAGAAAAATTACATCGGGGCTGAAGAGATGGCTCAGAGGTTAAGAGCACTGACTGCTCTTTCAGAGGTCCTGAGTTCAATTCCCAGCAACCACATGGTGGCTTACAGCCATATATAATGAGATCTGGTGCCCTCTTCTGGCATGCAAGCATACATGGAAGGAATGTTGTATATATAATAAATAAATAAATCTTAAAAAAAAAAGAAAAATTACATCAAAACATTTGTAGAAAATGGTATAAGAAATCATTAGGTTAAGTGAAATAAGACAGACTTCAAAGATCAAATACCACATATGGACCCTACATTTTAATTTTTCAATATATATACATACATCTAGGGTACATGTAGGTTATAAAATCAGAAAGAAAGGAACGGGGTATACTTGATATGAGAGCAGAAGGGAGGCTACGGAAAGAAGAAGACCCACATGGTAGGAATAACACTGGGAGAGAATGAAAATAAGAACACATATTAAACCATCATAATTTAAGAAAGAATTCTGGGATAGAGAGCTGACAGCTAAGAGAGCTGGCTGCTCTGGCGGAGGACCCAGGTTTGACTCTAAGCACCCACACGGTGGCTCACATCCACCTGTGAATCCAGGCCTAGAGCATCCAAAGCCTTTTCTCACTTCTGCGTGCACCAAGCTCACACATGGTACCACACAGACATGTCGTGGGATATCTGTACACTGTGTGAAGGTGTATCGCTGTGATTGGTCTAATAAAAAGCTGAAACGGCCAACAGGTAGGTAGGAGGTATAGGTAGGACTTCTGGGCTGAGAGAGGAAGGAGGAGAAGGAACCTAAGCTATTTGTACCTGAGGAAGACACCAAGAGACGAGAGAGGAAACAAGAGGGACAGATGGAAGAGAGCTAACGCCACATGGCAGGATATAGATTAACAGAAATGGATTAATTTAAGTTATAAAAAACAGGTAGGAACAAGCCTAAACTATAGGCCAAGCTTCTTCTGACCTCCACAGAAAGTGCATGCATGTCTGTGCACCACAAATGTGCACTTGCTCAGAAGAGGACATTGGAGCCCTTGGAACTGGAGTTAAGAGGCAATTGTGAGCAACCATGGGTCTTCCATGAGAGCAGTCAGTGCTCTTAACCGCTGAGTCATCACTCTAGCCTCTTTTAATTTGTTTATTTGTTGTTTTTTAAGACAGTCTCACACTATCCAATACAGGCCTTCAACTAATGGCAAGCCTCCTGCCTCGGCTTTCCAAGTGCTTGGTTTATGTGCATGAACCCCTATGCTCAGCTTTAGCATCTTACTTTTGGGATTTTATATATATATAAAACCTGCCATTTTTGGTTTATCTTCTGAGTCAGAGTCTAGTTCTGTAGCTCAGTGTAGCTGAGTGCCGTCTCTGCTCCCTAAGTGCTGGTGTTATGTATCTTCAAGCTCTGTTCATGTTTTCAGAATACAAAGTGCGTGTTTGTATTTGATTATGTACACAAACACATTCTTTACATAATTATGTATTTCTGAAACTATTTTGCAAAAATGAAATCAGTTGTATCATCTTCCTGGGAATCTGGAAAGTGAGCACTCAGATGCCCCAGCTACTCTTCAGTCCAGGTAAGAGGAAGACAGGGGCAGGAAAGAGGACAAACCATCAGGTTATCATCTTCACATACATTCTAACCTAATTTCAGGAGAAGTCACCTGCTGTCCAGGCTCTGCAGCTTTGCCTCCCATGAGCTGACAATCCCATTTTATACGGTTATAAACACGCATGTGCAAATAAGAGGGTATGATGAGAGAGTATATGTGGCCCCTAAAACATACTCACTACTCCTAATCATACACATTTTATGTGTATGTTTTTGAGGTATGCCTGTGTGCCACATGTGTGCAGGAACCCATGGAAGACACAGGACCCAGGTTCCCCTGACAGCTGGGAGTACCATGTGGGTGCTGGAAACAAAATCTGGGCTTTAACATTAAGCAGGTAATTTTAACCACTGAGCCATCTCTCCAGTCCCACTCCTTAACCTCTATAGGACATGCTTCCAGATTCCTCAGAATACCTCAGTTAAGGAGGTGCTATTCCTACAGAACCTAAGACACAGATTTTATGTGCTTCGAATTTTCTCAACTATAAAATGAACCATGCCTATTTCATTGGGATACTGAGGATGAAACCCTATATGTAAAGAACTCAGAAGTTTAGCAGAAAAGTAAGCTATTGTTAGTACTATTGTTACATCATGATGCAACATCTAAGGTTGAAAAATCAAATATATCATTATTAATATTTCTAACAATGAAATACCCTCATGCCTTCCTAAAGAATCATTAGGGGCAGGGAATACTGAGAAATGACATGGTGATTAAGAGCACTGTGTGCTCTTCCAGAAGACCTGGTTTGATTTCCAGCACCAACGTGGCAGCTCACAATTGTCTTAACTCCAGTTCCAGGGGATCCAACACTGGTCTCCATAGGCAATGTATGCATAGGCATATATGCAGGAAAAACATCTATACACATAAAAATTAATTAAATAATTATTTTCTTTAGAAGGAATGACTGACTGGGCATACAGCTCAGTGATGAGACACTTGCTATATCCCCAGCATTGCAAAATAAAAAAAACAAAAAGAAAGAACTTTTGTTGTGTGTAGTGGCACACCTACAGTTTGCGGACAGACTTGACAAAGGCATCATCCCCCAAATAAAACAGTAGCAAGAGGTCTTAGGCCCCTTTGGGAGTTACATATAAGATATTTACATTATGGTTCATAACAGTAGCAAAATTATAGTTATAAAGTAGCCACAGAATAATATATGGTTGGGGGTCATGACAGCATGAGGAACTGTATTAAAGGGAGCAGTACTAAGAATGCTGAGAACCACTGCTTTAGACTATAGAACATCAAGTAAAGAAAACAAGCACTAAAAAGCAATGAAACATCCTGAATTTACGTGTCTCTATGTGGAGAACATGTTAGGCAAGAGCGAAATATAAACTGTTACCACTACCTACTAGAAACCACAAAGGTACCTGATAATCTTAATTCTGCTTTGTTCTGGTTTTGGTTTTTCAAGACAGGGTTTCTCTGTGTAGCCCTGGCTGTCCTGGAACTTACTCTGTAGATCAGGCCAGCCTCATACTCACACAGATTTGCCTGCCTCTGCCCACAAGTACTGGGATTAAAGACTCGTGTCATCGCTGTCTGGCTTAATTTTGTTTTAAATATGCATGGGTATTTGCTTTTATGTCTGTGCACCACATACACACCTGCTGCCTATCATGGCTAAAAGAGGGCATCAAGATTCCCTAGAACTAGAGCTACAGATGGTTGTGAACAGTGAGTACTGTAAACAGAACACAAGTGCTGTGGAATAATCCTCTGTACACTGTGTGAATATATATCGCTATGATTAGTTTAATAAACAAGCTGTCTGGCCAATAGCTGAACAGGATCGTTAGGTGGGAAAGCCAAACTGAGAATGATTGGATGAAGAAGGAAGGAGTCAAAGGAGTTGCCAGTAAGATGATGAACAGGTTGGTCACACAAAATGGGACAGAGGTAAACCATGAGCCTCGGGGCAGCACACTGATTAATAGAAATGGGTTACGTTGTAAGATCTAGTTAGTAACAAGCCTGGCTATTGGTCAAGCATTTATAATTTATATTGAGTCTCCGAGTCAGTTATTTGGGAAGCAGCTGCCAGTTAGTTAGGAGCAGGTGGTTGGGTCAGGAAAACTCTGCCTATGCACAGGACTCCACAAAAAGGAGCCAGTGTTCTCAAATGAAGCACAATCTCTGCAGCCCCAAAACTGGTCATTTTAACAATATGAAGACATAAATACATATGTGATTAACAACATCCAGTCAATGTTCAGCTATTTAAAGACTTTCAAAATAACATCATAATGTTACTCTGCTATCTATTCCTGAAACCAAACACCTGTGCTGTAGTAAAGACATGACTGTAAAGACTTACTTTGTTGCCTGCCCTTCCAGTCCGTCCAGCTCTGTGCACATAATCTTCATAATGGTTGGGACAGCTGTAATTTACTACCAGAATCAAATGTTTCACATCTAGACCTCGAGCAGCAACTGACGTGGCTACGAGAAGTTTGCAGGTTCCATTCTTAAAGTCATTTATGATGCTGTCCCTGTCGTACTGATCAATACCTGTAAGTAAATTAAAGAGACAAACAGAAAAACATGTTGAAATTTTCCATTCCTACTAAGAAAGTCCTAAACACAGAAATAAAAAACAGACTCAGGAGCCGGGCGGTGGTGGCGCACGCCTTTAATCCCAGCATTTGGGAGGCAGAGGCAGGCGGATCTCTGTGAGTTCGAGGCCAGCCTGGTCTACAAGAGCTAGTTCCAGGACAGGAACCAAAAGCTACGGAGAAACCCTGTCTCGAAAAAAATCCAAAAAAAAGACTCAGGGCTGATGGCTCAGAAATCTGTGTTCAATTCCCAGCAACCACACCCTCTTCTATCATGCAGGCAAATATGTAGGAAAAACGCTGCATTCATAATAAATAAATACATAAATCTTTAAAAATATATCAATTTGCCGGGCAGTGGTGGCGCACGCCTTTAATCCCAGCACTCGGGAGGCAGAGGCAGGAAGATCTTTATGAGTTCGAGGCCAGCCTGATCTACAAGAGCTAGTTCCAGGACAGGCACCAAAAGCTACAGAAAAACCTTGTCTCGAAAATCAAAAAAAAAAAAAATCAATTTGATGATTTCTCAAAAACTTAAAGTCTGAGTTCTGGTTCTAGCAACTCCATTACTCAGAGGAACTAACAGCTGTTAAGATGAACACATACCATAGTTACATCATACACAAGAGTCTAATAATAATAAAACCAACCAGTCTCTATCAACAAATGAATCAAAAGAAGATAATAAATATACACAAAAGGATGTATTATCCAGCTTTTAGAAGAAAATCTAATACATGTTAAAATATGAATCATAAAATCATGACTGGGTGAACCAGAACAAACACAAAAGGATATGAAATGTATTAATTCCCAATAAACAACACAAAGGATAAGAAATTCATAAAGGCATAAGATAGTACGGAAGTATCAAAGTTATAAAGGACAGGTGAAAGGAAGACATAGAGAATAATTGCTTAACCAGTAGTCTTCATGTGGATGATGAAAAGTTCTAGGTACAAGGAGAGAGGGAGAAGCTTCACAGGGAAACAGTGCTTGCTTGCTTGCTTGCTATGCAAAAAAGAAGACCGACGAATCAAGTCTCTAATGGTCATGTAAACAGTCTCCTTATACCTCTGACCAAACTAGCACTGGATCACGGAGAGAGGCGGATTCTGACAGCTCGGACAGTGAGGCACTATCTCAAGGCAATTACGTGAAGAGCAATAGATAGCAGGGCATGAAGTTGGAATTTTGTCAAATGCCTGTCAGATTTCTTCTACCCACATTACAGAAAACAAAGCAGGTACTATTCAGAGCACAAGACAGCTGTTGGCAAGTTAAGTTAAGCAAATGTTACCGCCGTGAAGAGACATGCAGGGGTAAGATGCTCTCATCAAGTCCTTCAGGAGACCATCGGCATGCTCCTGCTTGTCAACAAATATAATGACAGATCCCGACTCCTGATAATGGCCTAAAAGCTCGAGTAATTTCAAGAATTTCTTTTCTTCTTCAATCACAATCTGAAAACAACACATTGTAGCAAGTTAACGTAAAAAACACAAATGTGTCTTAAAACAAAAATGTTTAATCTGTATTGAATGAGGAGAAAATAATAGCTTCCTAGACCTTAAATCGGCTAAGCAAATGCGGACTTTTAACTGGTAGAGTTGTAACTGTGGCAGCCACTGTGGTCACTGGCTCACTCTGACCCTTAACCTCAATTCCATTAATTAAAGACAAGAAAGATGTATCCCATTTCTGTTAGCCTTCATTGCTGGTGGGGAGAACTAAAAAGAGCTTTATTAAGTCAGTTCCATGTACCTGGCAACAGACTGAAGGTTATAACTGATGCGTAATATTTAACTTTAGAAGTTATCTACCTATTTCACAACTATGATATAAAAAGGATCACACACACACTGTCTAAACTAACAATTTCCTGAAAACAGTACCTACCACTTGTTGTTCCACATCTGAGCAAACCACACTCCTGCCCCCAACCTGAACTTCAATGGGCTTGCTCAGGATCCTGCGGGCCAAAGCCTCCATAGCTCTAGGGAAAGTAGCTGAAAACATAACTGTCTGTCGGTCAGGACGAACATTATCCACAATGCGCATGACCTGAGAAAACAATATAGTATATATGTATAAATACAATGAGTCTCCAAAAACCTACCCATTCCTCAAATCAAGCAGAAGGAACTTTGGAGAACTACTTCAGTTACTTTAAATTCATTACCTTAAAAACTCCGAACTTATACCAGAATTTGTAGCTCTCGGTTTCATCTTGTCAAGAAAGGGCAGGCTAAGCTAGGGTGGCAAGTGTAGTGATAGTTTGTGTTTTAACAAAAAAAACCTTGCCTGAAGATTGGCGTGCAGAGTTAAGCCGCTAGAGACCAGGCAATGGTGGCTCACACCTTTAATTCCAGTACTTGGGAGCCCCACGCCTTAATCCCAGCACTAGGGAGGCAGAAACGGGAAGGGATATGGTAGGGTGGAGAGAAGAATATAAGGTAGGAGGAGACAGGAACTGAATGCAGTCTGAGGTTTGTTGGAGATGGTTGTAATCCAAGGCTGCATGCAGTCTGAGGAGCAGTCTGAAGCAGTCTGAGGAGGCAGTGTGAGGACAGGATCTATCTCACCCCTTCAATCTCAAGATCTGGTAGAGGTAAAAGGTCTTTCTAGTGGTTGGCTGCTTTACTTTTTTTATCTTCAGCTTCAACCCCAATATCTGTCTCTGTGTTTTTATAATTCGTGTTACATTCTTTTCTCCTTTTTGTTTTTGAGACAGGGTTTCTCTGTGTAGCTCTGGATGTCCTAGAACTCACTCTATAGACCAGGCTGACCTTGAACTCACAGAGATTTGCTTGCCTCTGTCCCCCAAGTGCTGGGAATAAAAGTATGCATCACCACTGCCTGGCTCTTTATCTTCTTCAATATAGACTTCTTTTTCTTTAATTATTTTTTTATTTTATGCTCATTCATGTTTTTGCCTCCATGTATGTCTGTGTGAAGATTTCAGATTCCCTGGAACTGGAGTCACAGACAGCTGTGAGCTGCCATGTGGATGCTGGAAATCAAATCTGGATCCTCTGGAAGAACCACTAAGTCACCTCTCTAGCCCATCAATAGACTTCTGCCTAGACGCATACTACTGCTTTCCTAATCCTATCCAAACAGAGCCATCCTAGAGGATAAACTTTATCCTAGAGTATAAACTCTCGCTTCCTGAAGCTGTATTAGTCATGGTGATTTACCAATATCTAAATAGCAGCCCATGACCTGAAGCCCTACTTACCCCATGATTTTAACCAATAAAGCTCACAAAAATCATCACTCTGTCTAATTTTCCTCTCCACGGGCTATAATAAAACTTTTAAAAAAGGAAAAAAAAAAAAAAAAAAAACAACAAAAACCCAACACTGGCTCAGTAGATTACGGAACCTGCCACCCAATCTGACTGCCTGAATTCAATCCCTGGGCTCTACCAGGATTGGAAGCAAAGAACTGACCACTGCGAGTCATCATCTGACTTTCAGCCCCATACATACATACAGCCATGTCCAAAATATATATTAAATACTGGCGGGGGAGGGGACACTATTGATTATGACCCTCACTGACAAAGCAGCCAGTTTTACCTAGAAGCAGATCCTGTTCAGTCCTTCAGCCCCATTCGCTGAGACTGTAAGACTGTGACAGCTCATGAAGAACCTGAAGTCCTCTACTCCGTGTGAACTGGACTGCATCTATTTAACTGCTCCCCAAATGGTTCATGGATTCCACAATCCTGGATTTTTAGGCCCACCTACTCATATCTCATTCACAATTCAGTTTCTAACAGGACGTTGACAGAGCACACCTTTAATCCCAGCACTGATGAGGCAGAGGCAGGCAGATCTCTGTGAATTCGAAGCCAGCCCAGTCTACAGAAGGAGTTCTAGAACAGCCATGGCTATACAGTGAAACCCTGTCTCCAAAAAAAAAGAGTTCAGTTTCTGAATCTAAATACAATGGTAGTATATGGCAGATGATGTCTCTTTGGGGCTATGCTTCTGCTGTCCCTTCCCAGACCATGCAGATGTCTTATTCTCACAGCTGCCACCAAATCCTCTACACTTCAAAACCTTAAGAGCCTTAGTGAGGGACTGGAGAGAGCTCTCAGAGAACCAGGTCCAGTTCCAGGCACCCACCGAACACCCACATGGAACAGCGCACAATCACCTCCAGGATGAGCTGACATTTCCAGCCTCTGCAGGCACTGGCATTCATGTGCACACACCACATAGGCACACACCATACACACAATTAAAGGTAGAATAAACCTTTAAAATTACAAAGAAATGGAATTATTACCTGTGGTTCAAACCCCATGTCAAACATTCTGTCTGCTTCATCTAAAACAACATATGTCACTCTTCGGAGATTTGTGACTCGACCTAAGGTCAAAAGAAAAAAGAAAGACAAAAAAAAAAAACAACACTAACTATCAGTCACAATTCATGATGACAACCAAGAACTTTAAAAAAACCATAAAGGGAACTAAAATGCCTGACTTAAGCAGAGGGGAAGGTTAGGTTTCTTTAAACAGTGAAAAGAAACTTTGGTATAAAAGTCTTAATCTAGTGGCAAGTACTTTCTGACAGTGGGTACATGAGGCCCTTTATTTTGTCAAACTCGCCTCTTGCATACCATCATAGGGCCTGAAGAACCTGTAAAATTCAGAAAACAGCCCTCTCCAAAACACATCATAAAACTAAGACTGAGATGAAGCATCGAGCCACATCAGCCATTATCTGACAGCATCACCTAGAAAAAAACATATTAGAGATTACAGCGTATGTGTGGAAAGCAGGTTCCAGTGCTAACTACTTCAGAGGCAGAGAGCCTCTGCCACTTTACAGCCTACTACCATACAGTCAGAAGCACCTTAAATGGGCATGTCAAACCACTGACAAACTGCTCAAAATCACTGGGAACAATGTATTACACAAACTTTAAATAACAAATGCATTACAGATAAATACACTTTTCTATGCAAAGATATACAGTAAATTATTAATTGCTGCCACTGATTTAATAAACAGCCCTGGCTTCTTAACCAGTTAAAAACTAAAAATACAAAAAATCCTTTCTCAAAGATCAGTAAGTATTTCTATCAACTGCAGAATCAACCACCTGGCAAAAATATGTTATTTAAATAGTTATTAAAAGGTAAACAAAAAAAGACAAATAAAGGAAAAAGGTAAAATTAATCAAGATGAAGTTCAGGAGGTTTAATTAATATAACAGTGAGAAAAAACAAGGAATTATACAGTCAGCACTCATCCCCAAACCTTCACTTGCTACACAAGCGCAAGGCCTCAAACAGCCTCAGGGAGAATTAAGTTTACCCCAAGCTCAGGCGGACACTAGTACAAACATGCACTCCTCGGTTCCAGCACTCAGTTACAATAGTCTGAACGCTGCAATGGAAACTTCTAACCAGCTGTTTCTTCAAAAACTAAATATACAGTGTTCACACTAACATCTCCAGCCGCCAAGAGTCTCACAAGGTTGGAAAGAGCATTAAGTCACCTACCTTTGACGGTTACCATCTCGGAAGCCCAGGTCTATAAATCCTCAGGGCCTTTCTCCACAGAAGTTAAATAATGTCAACAGTTTAGTATCAGTTTTGATAGGGAATATTTTAACAAAACATAACATTTGATCTAAAAACATGCAGTATTTACAAAAGACACATTTCTTGAAGCTGCAATAACTTAATTTGTCTATTATTATAAAATACTAACTCCTGTGGAGAATTTTATAATAAAGACTATGATGTCACCCTTTTAAAAAGCAAAGAAAAGCCAAAAAAAGTCAAGTTAAATGCTATAAGATACTGCAAAGTTAGTTGTGAAAAGAAACTGAACTGCCAAAACTTAACTAATACTTTCAACAATAATATTCACTTTAAGATATTACAGCTTTAAGAAGAAACATAGAAACCATTTGTTGGTTTCCAACATCTGTTTTAACAAAAATGTGTCAAGTTTAAAAAGGAAAAAAAAAAAAAACAAATTAAAAAAAAATACCTGTGACTTACCACTGTTAGCAGCTAACATGTCAATCATTCGACCAGGTGTGCAAACAATAATCTCAGCACCTCTTTTCAGCTCAGCGATCTAATGAAACAGGATGAAATTTCATAGTATAGTCATCAGGACTTCTCCAACAGATATGAAAACAGCAGCTGACCCACTCACGGCTCTAACAGGTAAGACAAAGTCTGAATACAAGACTGGAGGCTGGCATGTGGCCCTGGGGCTGCCAGCGTGCTGAAGGACAGGGAGCAGCAGGATGACAACTGGGGCCAGAAATTTGAAACTAATAAAACTCAAGAATTTCCCAGATTTTAATTTGCAACTATTTCTCGCAAACCAAGAACAGGAGGTCAAAATAAACAATAAAATACATATTCTAACACAGAGATCAATGCTTTCCAAATTTAGGAAACCATGACATCAGTCTTCTAAGCCACACCAGCAGGTTTACCCAATAGAAAACACAATAACAGCGCACGGGACTCGGGAAGCTCTGCTGATCTCTATACAAACACACATGGATGCACCAGGTTATACTGAATGCATGCACCGCCCTTTATTTTGCATGTATGAGTGTTTTGCCTGTAAGATCGTCTATGCATCCCGTTGATGGGGGAAGGTCATTGGCTAATAAAGGAACTGCCTTGGCCCATTTTATTGGTTAGAGGATAGGTGGGAGGAGTAAACAGAACAGAACGCTGGGAGGAAGAGGAAGTGAGCTCAGTCTCGACAGCTCTCCTCTTTGGAGCAGACGCCTGAGAGAGACGCCATGCCCCACTCCCGGGATGAAGCTCCAACCCAGGATGGACTAGGCTAGAATCTTCCCGGTAAGCGCACCTTGGGGTGCTACACACAGATGATTAGAAATGGGCTAAATTAATATGTGAGAATTAGCCTAGAAGAGAATGGGCCAAGCAGTGTTTAAAAGAATACAGTGTCCGTGTAATTATTTCGGGGCATAAGCTAGCCGGGCAGGCAGCTGGGGTGTTGGGGACGCAGCCCTGCTGCCCCATTACTACATCCCGTACATACAATGCTGGCAGAGGCCAGAAGAGGGCACTGGCTCTTCCTGAAACTGGAGTTACAGATGGCTGCAAGTTACCTTGGGGCACTGGCAATCAAACCCAAGTCCTCTAGAAGAGCAGACAGTGCTCTTAACCACTGAATGATCTTTCCAGCCTTAAAGCAATTGCAACTCTGGGATGTTGGTTGGCCTGAAAGTCATCTCCTACAGCACAGGTACCAGCAAGAGTGGCAAATATTCCAGATGACATACTGCTTCCTATATGTGTTTTAGTATTTAAGAAAGTACAGGGCTGTGGTAAAGGTGCTTGCTGCCAGGATGACAACTTAGGTTCACTGCCCAGGATTTCACATGGTAAAAGGAGAGAACCGACTCCTATATCCATCTTCTGACTATACTCAAGTGCTGCATGTGCACGTGGGCAAGCACATAAGCAAACTCAAACACATACATGACCCACACGTGCACACACACGCACACGTGTGCACACAAACACAGGTATAATTATAAAATATAAACAAAAAAAAAAGGAAAAAATGTAATGGTTCCTTTCCAATAGAACTAAGGCTGACAGAGCCAACACAGTCACTCACACACAGACTATTGTTAATGTTTTAACTTTTTTTGTTTCTTCTATTACAGAGCCCTGAGATGCTTCTCTGATCTCAAAGCTAAGGTAAGCCTGGCAGCAGCATCTTTGCCTGCCTGTCTAAAGCCCCTGTGGCAGAGCTCAACCCATTCTCACTGCAAAGGCTCTAAGATGTTTGTTTTCTTGCCAGATGTGGTGACACAGGCCTGTAAGTAAGCGCAGCACTTGGAAGACAGGAAAGAAAGATCCATCTGGAAATATCAAGGTCATCCTCAGCTACACAGCAAGTTCAGAGCCTTCCTGGGCTAAGATCTGTCACAAACAAATACACACAATTTGTTTTATAGCGGGGCAGTGGTGGAATCTTTAATCCCAGCACTTGGAAGGCAGAAGCAGGTGGATCTCTCTGAGTTCAAGTCCAACCTGGTCTACAGAGTTAAGTTCTAAGACAGCCAGGGTTTTCTCAAAGAAACCCTGTCTCAAAAAAATCAAAAGAAAAAAATTATACATGTATCTCTTACTACAGGCTGTATGGTCAAATAAACTGGCAAAAATGAACAGTTCAAATATTTAAAATAGCAAAAATGCAAAAAATTCTCAAGGCATGTTCATACAACACTTGTTCTAAAATACACTTTCTTGCTAAGCGTGGTGGCACATGCCTTTAATCCCAGCATTTGGGAGGCAGAGGCAGGCAGATCTCTGAGTTCAAGGCCAACCTGGTCCACAAAGAACAGTCAGAGCTACATAGACAGATCCTGTCATGAGAAAATGCTAAATCAAAGACAGTCAAAGCTTCCTAAAATTTTGCTATATATCATTATGAACGAAGATGAAAGTCTAGCACTAACACATAGCATTAGTTAGCACCTTCTAAAGAAGCCAGCATGGATCAGAGACAGAAACTGTTGGTCTGGGAATTACAGGACCATGTCCTAAGGCAAACTGCAGCTCTAATTAACCTAGTTGATCAACTTATGTCATCATTCTGCATAATTTTTCACTTATAAAATGGAAAAACAGACCTGCATTCTTAGGCATAGCACATATTAATGCTAAGAACTACTTTAAGCCCAGCAGTGTTGGTGCACAACTTTAATCGCAGCACTTCAGAGGCAGATGGATCTCTGTGAGTTCAAAGCCAGTCCGCAAAGAGGACAGGCAGGGACTGGAGGGGGAGGGGGAGGGAGAGTGGAGGGAGGGGGAGGGAAATGGGAGGATGTGGAAATTTTTAATAAATAAATAAATAAAAATAAAAAAGAGGACAGGCAGGGATACAAAAAGAAACCCTGTCTAAAACAGCACCTCCCCCCCCAAAAAAAGACTTCAAAATTCTTTATTAGATTTATTATTTTTCTTCATTCCCCAGGTTTTGAGAAACAATTAGTAACAATGAAGTGCACATACTGGGAGCCAGAGAACTGTAGCTCACTGATACCAAAACTCCCGTATAGCATTCATCAGACCCTTGGGTCAATAATCCGCAGCACACACCAAAAAGAATGGAGTTTAGAAACACGAATGATGTTTTCTGGTCTATATACACATTGGCAAGATAATCAGCACAATCAAGTTCCATCTTTTATCACAGAGCCATCAATTTTTGTGTTTTGTGGAAAGAATATTTAAGTTCAACTCTGCTATCAAGATTTAAATATATAAGGGCTTTATTTATTCAGCCACATCATGCCTAGTCTCTACAGAACATAAGCTTCCGGCATGACATCATGCATTCTTAGGAGCAAGGGTATAAGATAAGGTCTTGACACATACACCTGGCTGGCCTGGAACTTGCTCTGTATAGGAAGCCAGTTTCAAACTTGCAGTGGTCCTCCTGCGTCTGCTTTCTTCTGAGTTCTGGGGTTACAGGGATGCCCCATCTACACATGCACACGCACCCTTCTCAGGACAGGGTTCTTTCTATATGGTTCTCAGGCCTCAAGCTAGGGATCCTCCTTCCTCAGTCTTCTTAATGTGGGAATCACAGGCACACCACAGGCACTTATAATTGTTTAATTATTATACTTATAAATCTTTTAATTATTTCACACCAAATACCCTTTAAGATTTTAAGGGGAATTACCTACATACAAACACTAAAATGAAAGAATTACTTAACTCACTGGAACATTCAATCTGAAAAAGATAGAAAGGCTGAGTGGTTTATTCTAACTACCTGCTCGCTGATTCCTGTCCCTCCGTACACACAGACCACTCTGAGTCCCAAGGTCTTCGAAAACTTCTTACATTCTTTAGTGATCTGTAAAGCCAGTTCTCGAGTTGGAGTCATGATGACAGCTGAAAAGATAAATATGTCAAAGGCTAACCCCAACCCTTCAGAAGACGCTTCAAAACACTAAAGTAGACCTGTGCAGGATGGCCCATGTCTCAGTGAAAAATGTTTGGTCTTTATGGAAATCTGAAAACTGTGTTTCAAAAACTTAGTAATGGCAGAAACCAAGGTAAAGGGCAAATGGATTCTTAAGAACGTGCTATGAGGAAATAACAATTACACAGCATACTCAAACCTCAGAAATATACTCGAAAACAACATAGTTTCCAACAGCAAATCACAGGGTAAAGGGAATCAAGTGACTCTGTGCTACAGAATCCACAGCTGCTGCCCAAAGCACATCGCTCTGAGAGGTACAGAGAATGCACCGTGCCGTGTGTTTCCACAGAAAGAGCTGAGTAATTTTCCCTAATCAAATATGCAAGTAGTAACTGCAAAAATGCGAAGAAATCTGAATCTGAAGACCTAATCCTACATGAAACCCTGGCACACTGGGAAAGCACACTTCTCCTTCTCCTACGCCGACTTCATAATACAGTGATACAGGGCTGAGAACACACCTCAACATAAATAAACAGAGAGATGCATGAGGGGTCTACCTGCCAGGTCAGTTTTAAAACTGAGCTGTGCCAGCCTTGTTTTTGTACTTCTTAAGATGTCACTCCAGAGCTCTGAAGATTCTCATTCCACCTGCTGGTATGGGGAAATCAGCCCCAAACTGCCATATTGATAAAGGAAATGCACATAAAGACATCTTTATTGTCATAATTAATAACTGCAAGAATCAGGTCTTTCTGAAGTAACAACAGCACTTCTAAGAATGATGTGATGAGAAGATTTGTACCTATTGGGCCCTCTCCTTCTTCTAAAGATCTCTGATCCATGATGTGTCTAAACATGGGCAAAAGAAAGGCAATGGTTTTTCCACTTCCTGTCTTGGCAATGCCAATTAAATCTCGTCCAGACATTATAGCAGGAATTGCTTGAGTTTGGATTGGTGTGGGCTTCTCATAGCCATGCCTTAAAAAGAAACAAAAAGAACACAAGAATTATGAGCATTAACTACTCTCAGGGAACCACAAACATTACTTCTTCTAAATGTGATATATCCACCTGATAAAACATTATTTGGTGGACAGCAGAAAAAGCCAAGTGCTGCAGGGATGTCTTTCTGTATGCTGTGAATATGTTTTATTACCATTTTTTTTTTTTCCCCCGAGACAGGGTTTCCCTGTGGTTTTGGAGCCTGTCCTGGAACTAGCTCTTGTAGACCAGGCTTGTCTCGAACTCACAGAGATCCGCCTGCCTCTGCCTCCCGAGTGCTGGGATTAAAGGCATGCACCAGCACTGCCCGGCTTTATTACCATTTCTTAATAATGAAGCTAATGTGGTCAACAGCCAGGCAGAATAGAGCCAGGCAGGAAATCCAAGCAGAGATACATGGTAAAGAAGGGCAAAGGCAGAGAGATGCCAATAGCCTCTGGGGAAGTAAGATGTTAGGTAACAAGTCACAAGCCTCAATGTAAAATATAGAGCAATAAGGCCAGGTGGTGGCAGCACATGCTTAATCCCAGCACTCCAGAGGCAGAGACAGGAGGATCTCTGTGAGTTTGAGGCCAGCCTGGTCTACAGAGTGAGTTCCAGGACAGTCAGGATTGTTTCATAAAGAAACAGTCTCGAAAAACAAAACAAACAAAAAAATATAGAGACTAATGGAAATGGGTTAATTAGTTGTAAGAGTTAGTTAATGATAAGCCTGAGCTAATAAGCAAAAAAAATCTGTAATTAATATTAAGCCTCAGACTGGGCAGAATAAAAGAAGCCCCCGTTTATATCTTGCTGGGCTGACATGAAGGCTTATTGAGTGCTTGCACTCAGGCCAGATAACCTGAGTAGATATGTGGAATCTGCAAGGCAGAAGAAAGAGCAGACTCCCCAGAGTTATCCTCTCATCTCCATCCACACAAGCCACAGTGCATGTGCTCCAGCAAGCATGCAGCCAGGCACAAAATAAAATACAAATGAAAAACAAATAAAAAAAATATTTAAAAGTCAGCATGGTGGTGCATACCTTTAATCCCAGCACCAAGGAGGCAGAGGCAAACGAATCTGTGAGTTCAAGGCCAACCTTGTCTACACACTGAGTTCCAGGAGAGCCAGGGCTAGCTACATAAAGAGACAAACAACAACAAAAAATTGATAGTTTTTAAAATAAATAATTTTTTAAATTGACAATGAAAGAATGAAGCACTAAGAAATTCCACAGGGTGAAACCCTGAAAATAGTGATTTTACCAAGTGACAAAAAAAAAAAAAAAGCAGTCAGGAAAGACGACACACTATGTAATTCCACCTGCATCAACTGTCCAGTGGGGCCAGACCACAGGCATGGGAAGTACACTAGTGGTTGCCTAGGGTGAAGGAGATGGAAGAAGACTGATAAAGGACAGGGAAGACTGATGAAAATGTCTATAACTAGATGGCTGCACAAACCCATAAACATACCACTGGATCATAAACTCCAAGTGGTCAACTCTACACTTACACAACAGCTCATTAAAGACGTTTACAAATTTCTTTAAAAGCCTCGGGCTAAGATGTAGCTCAACGGTAGACTAGTTCCCCAGCACAGTCAACTACCTGGGATGGGAACTTCCACCTAAGAGAAAAATTTTAAGTTACGAATATAACTGAAATCCAGAGATATTTGTGTGAAAGGAACATGGAGAGTAGCAGGACACTGAAAACTGTACATAACCATCAACCACTTACTTTTTGAGGGAGTTTAGTATCTTCATGGAAATTCCACACTGGACCCACGACTTAATTGGTTTGGGACAACCTTTTCCTTTAACTGTAATGCCCTCCATTTCCAATCGAAACACATTCACCTCTGGAAAACAAAGCCTGTTAGAAACTCTTCTGCTGGTACCATCCAGCTGTGTTCACTAGGCGGTCAAAGGTCAAACATCCTCACCTTTGTTTAAGTGCTATCTAAAGAAATCCCACAGCTGAGCTACAGAGAAACACTAAAGCTCAGAGAGACCAAGCAACAATTGCTGCAGTAAATCAAGAACAACGCAAATACCCCAGTTTCAACACTCTGGTTTTCCTGTTTTCTTCGACTGTAGCAGAATAATAAATGCCCAACAACACAACCACCTGGTGTGGCATGATTTTCCCAGATTGCATTTACAGCCGGCTGATGGTGAGCAGTCATACCAACTGCCTCACACACCAGCAGGGCCAACAGAAACACTATCCGAATATGACAAGGACATTACTTCTACCCCTAAGAACAACTATGTGACTCTATCATTTTGCTCTTTTTAAAGATACTTCCAAAACATCTTCCAGCTCCCAAGCCTATGCACGCTACCCCTGTGGAGTAGAACACACTCTCCCGGAGGCCACCATAACATAACCAAACAAACAGAAACATCTTACCCTCCTGAGACATTTTTGCTAGTTCTGGAACTTCAACATAAAAATTTTTTCTGAATGGTTCATACTCAATTTTTCCATGATCAACTGGTTCTAGAAGTTTTCTCTGTTTTGTCTGGTAGCCTGTCAAGGCTGTCTGAAGATCAACTTCCTCCTCCTCTGAAGAATACTTGAATTTTCAGGAACAAAAAAAGGAAGTCCATTATTAATTTCTCCTTCCAGAAGAAAACAGTCCCAGTTATCAAAGCCCTCCTCTTTCTTAGGCACGAAATTAAGATTGCACAACCTAAAAATCTCAAGTAAGAATGCCCATGATTTTTAACATAGGTAAATCAACTCCTTAAAAAGGTTTCAATTGGAGAACAGGAGAATTCTGGGAAGAAGGACTCAGTCACAGAGCAAGCAAGATGTGACTGCCTGACCAAAAAAGGTACTGAGCCACATGGCTAACATATATAAGAATAATGGACTAATATAAGTTATAGAGTTAATAAGAAGCCTGAGCAATGGGCCCATCAGTTTATAACTAAAAAAATAAATAAAAGTTTTCAACTTAGAGTTGGGTGGTGGTGGCGCACACCTTTAATCCCAGCACTCGGGAGGCAGAGGCAGGTAGATCTCTGTGAGTTCGAGGCCAACCTGGTCTACGAGAGCTAGTTCCAGGACAGGCTCCAAAAAGCTACAGAGAAACCCTGTCTCAAAAAAACCAAAAAAAGTTTTCAACTTAGTATCTTTTTCTTTACTCAAAGTTTTTTTTTTAAAGATTTATTTATTTATTACATACACACTGTTCTGTTTGCACACCAGAAGAGGGCACCAGATCTCATTACAGATGGTTGTGAGCCACCATGTGGTTGCTGGGAATTGAACTCAGTATCTCTGGAAGAGCAGTCAGTGCTCTTAACCTTTGAGCCATCTCTCCAGCCCTATTCAAAGTTTTAATAGTAATACAAACCTATATAATTCTCAGAAACACCACTGAGGTTTTGCTGCTGTTTTCATTATCTAGACCTTTACATTAGAGGTTACTAGGAAGAAATGCCATTCACTTTACTGCTTCACTTGTCTTTCTGCTGCATGCCTGAGACGAGCTGATAAAGCAGAGAATGGAAATGTAGGACACAACACAGTTACACCGCTGCTCTACTCTGAGATCCTGCCCTGGTAACTAACTGCGAAGCACATCAACTCCGACGGTTTGCAATAAATGCTCCTAGGACATGAGCATAACCAAGTCAAGACTGAAGACTCACCTCCATGGCATCCTGGTCATTCTCCATCAGCTCTCCCTTCTTCTTATCAGAATCCACTACTGCTTTTTTGGTTGTTACCACAGTAACCACTTTGGTGACGGTTGGTCCAGACTTCTAAAATAAAAAAGGATTACCATACTTTGCAAAAGTTTAAAAAAAAAATAGATTTTAAAACATGTGGACACCAGATAAAAGACAATGTTCAATCCTACAAAATGTAATTGAAACTAACATGATTTAGGTTTTAAGAAGACCAAGAAAGCTTTGGTTTTCTGCAAACTTGTCAATGTGTCTACACAATAGTTTATAGATACACTAATACAAAACTGTAAGTTTATACATATAAGTTTATATGTGTAAGTTTATACAACAATTTTTTGCTTGTTTTTGCTTTTTGCTTTTTAGAGAAAGGGTTTCTCTGTAGCCCTGGCTATCCTGAAACTCATTTTGTAGACTCAGGGATCTGCCTGCCTCTGCCTCCCAGTGCTGGGATTAAAGGCTTGCTGCTATCACTGTTGTAGAATTTCGATCCATTTAGCCAATGACCTTGGGGCAGAAAGCCATAGGGCAAGGCCTTGTCTGATATGAGTAGTGACCCTTAGAAGCTGATGGGGAGGGAGAATGCACTCTCACTTTCTTGCTCAGGAGGTTGGACCCCAGCTCCCCTGGACAGAACAGCAGGACACAGCAGCTGGATCGTGGCAGAGTCTAATCTCTATCAGTGAGTGTTTACCCCACTTTATACCTAAATAAATTCTTAAGATTGTTTAACAGACTCAGGTGGTTTCACGTAACAACCCCAGCAATACAGCCCGCTTTTTTACCCCATGATCACTTGATGTTAGAATCCCCAATAACAAACCTGCAGGCCAAGAGAACAACAGCAATAAAGGCAGCGCTCCCGGCAGCTAGCCGCATACCTTCTCATTGCCCGCACCGCCTTTCACACTCCTCATGTTAAACTTCTTCACTTCTTCTTTCACTTCCTCCATGTAGGCATCTAATGGATCTAACTCCTCGCCCTCCATTTCATTCCCTTCCTTTTCAGCCTCTGCAGGATCATCTTCATCATCTAAAACGGCAGAGCGTATTTTCTTTGTACACACATTTCAAAGGGAAATACACAGCCAGTGACAGGCTCAGTGGGGAAAAACTTGTGTTGCATAAGTCTGACAACCGAGGCCAAGTCCACATCCCATGATGGAAGGAGAACTAATTCCTGGAAGCTGTGCTCTGATCTCTGTGTGTGTGTAAGCATGCGAATGCAGTTACACATAAGCACAAACTAATGATTTTAAATAATTCAATAATTATAAAAATAATTTAAAAATTTTTAAGATATACTCATTTATGTACATGAGCGCTCTATCTCCTTCTGAACATCAGAAGTCATTTGATTTCACTACAGATGGTTGTGAGCCATGTGGTTTCTGGGAATTGAACTTAGAAACTGTGGAAGAGAAGTCTGTGCCCTCAACCTCTGAGTCATCTCTCCAGCCCATTTACAATTCTTTTTTAAAGAGGAGACATGCCACTTCCATTCTATTACTTCCATTACTGCAGTGGGGCAGTGCACTGACAGCACCTGCTAAGCCCTGGGTTTAAGCCTCAGAAGCACAAGACAAGGCAGGAGAAATGTTTCTCTCTTAAATCATAAAAAGTTAGAAGTGTACTTCTCTTTTTAAAGACAAACATGTGAATGTATACACGTATGTGCCTTGGTGCTCTTTTCTCACAGAGCAGAAGAGTGGGCTGGATTCTTGGCTAGAGTTCTTGATGATTGGGAACCATGAGGGGGCGCTTACTCTCATTAACAGCTGCACTGAGGGAAAATACTCTAGCGCCATCTACAAACTCTGCAAGTGACAACTGTGTGTTCTCAAGTAAAATCAGTGATTCTTACTGGATGCTACTTTGTAATTGAAGGAGGTCTTTAAAAATCTCAATATGGCCAGGCACAGTGACTTATCCCTACAGTCCCAACTACTCAGGGCATTAAGGGAAGAGTCACTTGAGTACAGAAGCTCCAGGCTGGCTACAACAGCAGTGAGACCCTATGACTAAAACTACAATAACCTTAGCTTAGTATGTATCCAGAAAATCTGCCTCTAGGTACAAAGAGTTACAAAAAAAAAAAAAAAAAAACCCACAAAAGTTGTAAAAGAAAGTCAACTATTTCTGTGCAAACAACTCAAGCATCAACAGTCAGTGAAAAAATAAACCAGCCCAGTACACAGTCCCAGTGTTTGGGAGACTGAAGTAGGAGACTCACAAACTCAAGGCCTGCCAAGGTTAGAAAGAGGAAGCCTGTCTTAAACAGGAAAAGAAAATATTTCCAGGAATAATGGCCACACTTTTAATTGCAGCACTTGGAAAGCAGAGTTCAAGGCCAGCCTGGTTGATACAGAAAATTCTAGGCCATCTGTGGATAATATAGAGAGACCATGTCATGTACATATACTCAGGCCACACAGAAGTAGAGTAATAATTCAATATGAATGAAACTTCAATACAATATGACAAACTAAAAAGCCAGACACAGAAAAACACCAATAGTATGGCTGCATATGGAGGAACATAGGCCACTTCTCTGAGACAGAAAGCAGTGTGGAGGCAGGATGGTGAGATCTTCAATGGGTCGAGTTTCCACACGGGATGATTAAAGAGCTCTGGAAATGGACAGTGATGAGGGCTATGCAGTACCGAATGTACTGCAAATAACTAGACTTACCATTCTGTGCCTGAGAGGGTTAAAGTAGACCTAGGGAACTAGCTCAGGGCTAGAGCATTAGGTAGACATGCCGAAAGCCCTGGCTTTGACCCTCTCTCTGTTCAACAGGGAAGACGGGTAAAAATGTTAAAATGTAAATACAACATTGGCACATTTTCCACAATTTTAAAAACGAACATCACCCACTTCCCAAATATACCATCATCATCTTCTAAACTCCACTTTTTCCCTTGTTTCATTTCCTCGATTTCCTTCTTCAATTCCCCTATGTTTTCCATGGCCTTTTTACGCTGCTCTTCTCGCCATTTTTCAACTCTTTCTTTTCGTTTTCTCATTTCTTCCTCCAGCTTATTCTGGTCAAAGTTCTTTGGGGAGGGAAAGAGAAAAAGAAAGAGGGAAAACCAAAATCAGAATTAGCAAGTGTAGTCCACATGAGATTTTTATTTGTTTGTTTTGTTTATTTCTGAAACAGGTTTCTCAGTAGCTACGAAGTCTTTCCTAAAACTTACTCTGTAGACCAGGCTGGCCTCAAACCCACCTGCCTCTTCCTCCCGAGTGTTGGGATTAAAGGCGTGCACCACCACTGCACAGCTTATATGAGGTTTTAATAAGTTCTCAAAAGTATAAAAAAAGAAAAATGGATGTGTGTATACATTCCTAAATGCAAACCAGCTTTAGTAATCACCCATCTTTATAATTAACCCTCCTATTATATTAAAAGCAAGGCCAGTGGGATGGATGGCTCAGGAGATAAAGGCACCTGTTAACAAGAATGATCGTTTCAGTTCAATATGGATAACTCATATAGTGGAAGTAGACAATCAACTCTTAAAAGTTAACTTGAGGGCTACACTTGTGCCATGGCACGCCATGTGTGTAACCCCCACAAAATATAATATAATTTTGGAATTACAAAGTTACTCCTGGTCGTTAGCACCTATAACTGCAGAAGGCTAGGGTTAGTTCCAGGCCAGTCTGAGCGATATATAGCAAGACCCTGAGAAAGAAAGGCAGTGAGGGAAGGAGCGATGAAAAGAGAAAACAAGGAAGAGTCATAACAAAAGGCACGTTCAATAAAGAAATATAATAAATGAGACTAGAGAGTTAGCTCAGCAGTTAAGAGCAATGACTGCTCTTCCAGGAGGATCAAGTTTGACTCCTAACGGTTTATAACCATCAGTTAACACCAGTTCCTAAAGATCTGGCACCCTATTCTGGCCTATGCAGGCAGCAGGCACACACACAATACTCATAATATAAAATAATAATCCAAAATTTAAAAAAACACTTATGTTATGGGATAATCTTTCTGTATACTGTAAAGATGTGTCTCTCCAAAGGGGCCTTCTGACTGCTTTAATAAAGAGCTGAATGGCCAATAGCTAGGCACAGGAGAGAATAGGCAGGACTTCCAGGGGAGAGACAGAGGATTATGGGAAGAAGAGAAGGGGACAGGACACCAGCGAGGCACTGAAAGTTGGCCATTATGTACAGAGGAGAGGTAACCGAGGCAGGTGACAGAACAGATCACTAGAAACAAGCTAATCTGAGTTAGGGAAAAAGCCTAAGCTAAGGCCAAGCTTTCCTAATTAGTAAGTCTCTGTGCTATTATCTGTTAAAGAAAGTCCGACTACATCCATACAATTATTATGTCCTGGGGCTAGAGAGATGGCTCAGAAGGTAGGAGCACTGGCTGCTTTTCCAGAGGTCCCGAGTTCAATTCCCAGCAACCACATGGTAGCTCACAACCATCTGTAATGAGACCTGATGCCTTCCTTGCCAGCAATACATTGTATGCTTAATAAATAAATAAATCTTAAAAATAATTATGTCCTATTAGACTGATAAAAATGACATCCCAACCTTGGCAAGGATATGAGAAAGGAAAGCACACCATTGTGTGCCTTAACCCTTTTCATTTTGATTTATTTACATATGCATGACAGTGGGCTGCACACACCACAGCATGGGTGCAGCAGACAATGTGTCGTCTGCCTTTCTTCCCACCTTCATGTGGGTTTCATTCAAACTCAGGTCTAGGCTTCCATAATAACTGCTTTTCCAGCTAAACCACTGTGCTGGTCCCAGATGACTAAAATCTGTATATAGTTTTTAGGCTAATTTGATACTTTTTATATGGACTGATCACATTTTCTAAGTAAAAACAGGTAACATAAATATGCAATGTTTTCAGAAGTATTCTTCAAGACTTTTATCTGCTTATTTTATATTACTGTTATAAATTACTTAAAAGTAAAACTTAAGAAAAAGAATATCATTAAGATAATAATTATCAGCTGGCAGTGGTGGCACATACCTTTAATCCCAGCACTCGGGAGACAGAGGGATCTCTGTGAGTTCGAGGCCAGCCTGGTATACAAGAGCTAGTTCCAGGACAGGCTCCAAAGCTACAGAGAAACCCTGTTTTTTTTTTTGGGGGGGGGGGGGAGAAGAGAAAAGAAAAGGAAAAATTATCAGTCAGGTATAGTGGCACACTCCTATAACTCCAGCACATGGGAAAGAGGCAAACAGATCTATGTGAATTCAAGGCCAGCCTGGTCTACAGAGAGACAGCCAAGGCTCGGTTACACAGAGAAACCCTGTCTCAAAACCCCTCTCCAAAAAAAAAAAAAAAAAAAAAAAGAATAAGAAACAATTATTTTCCAGGGAGCTCAGTGGTTAAGAGCAGTGCCTGCTGTTCCAAAGGTCCTCAGCAACCACATGGTAGCTCACAACCATCTCTAATCAGATCTTGTGCCCTCTTCTGGCTTGCAAACATACATGCAGGCAGAAGACCGATAAATAAATAAATACACTTAACCAATTTGGAAAAAACTAAATTTTTTCACTGGGTGGTAGTGGCACATATCTTTAATCCCAGTACCCGAGAGGCAGAGGCAGGAGGATCTCTGTGAGTTCGAGGCCAGCCTGGTCTGTTGTGAAAACAAGACTGCCATTGCAGACCTGTTCCAAGCTGAACATACCCCAGCATCCTTCTCCTTCTCATCTTCCTTGTCGTCTTTGTCCTTTTTCTTCTCTTTAGAACTGTCCCCACCTTCTGCTTTCTCTTTGGATCTAGACCTACCAAAGAACAAAAGAGAGTAAGATATCAGCACTGGGAAACACAAGCATCACTTCTTCTTCACTGTATGACATATTTAGTAATGTGTATGTGTGACAATGCCTGTGGAGGTCAGGGGACAACTTGCAGGAGTCAAATCTCTCCTCCATTGGCAATGAGGGATCAAAGTCAGCTCAAACCTCAGCGGCAAGCATCTTTACCACTGAGCCGGCTGAAGGTCCTGCAATACTCATTTTAGACTATTTAACAGACTTGGATCTCATTTTCTTATTTCTCCAATAATCAGCACATTGTCATAGTCCAACAAAAAATACCTGGAATAAGAAGAAAGTAATCTTTTAACACTAATAAAAAACATTACTAAACATGAGGAAATCTGTCTAAGAAAAACAATTACAAAACTTAGGATTAGCGGGCGGTGGCGGTGCACGCCTTTAATCCCAGCACTCCAGAGGCAGGCGGATCTCTGGGAGTTCGAGGCCAGCCTGGTCTACAAGAGCTAGTTCCAGGACAGGCTCCAAAACCACAGAGAAACCCTGTCTCGAAAAATCAAAAAATAAAAAACTTAGGATTGCAAAATTTTAGTAATTCATATATGTAATAATACAATCACAATGGATTTAAAATTTGACCTATGCCTCTAGTAAAATGGCTTAATTTTAATGGCATAAAAAAATTAATTGACATCAGGCTAACGAGTTGGCTCAGCTGTAAGGTGCGCTGTGTTCTTGAAGAAGATCCAAGTTCAGTTCCCAGCAGCCACATGAAGTGACACCAGCTGAAGCGGGTCTCTTCTGGTCTGCGCAGGTCTTGTATGCAGGAATCCAGACACATATGCAGGCAAAACATTCATATACCTAAAACTCAAATATCCCATCTCTCCTCTCTATTCATGACTGGTGTTTCTGAGTAATTTCTGGATAGCCTTTCAAATTTGACAAACATACTCAGAGACGAAAAGACATTTTCCAACAAAAACTATAAGATTGACCAGTTAACTTTTTTTGCCATCTAATTTGTCTTTTGCCTTTCTAATGTGTATGTTCTTTAGTACAGGAATGTTTGTACATGTGTTCATATGTGTGCATGCATGTGTGTAACAGAGTCTAAAGGACAATCTGGGGTAGCATGCCTTAGAAGCTGTCAACCTTATTTGTTGAGACAGGGTCTCTCACTGGCTAGATTTGGGCTAGACTGGCTGGACAGCAAGACCCACTGGTAAGCCTGTCTCCTCCCTATCTCTGGGATTACAAGTGCACACCATGCCCTAACTTTATTAACCTGAGGGCTTGGGGTTGGACTAAAATCTCAAATATGAGTACTGACGGCCATCGCTCAGCCCTATTTCTAGTCTTACGATAAATTTGTAAAATATCCTTCTATTCACGTCTGCTAAGAAGTTCAAAAACATAGATATGTTAAATTTAATAAAATCGGGGGGGAGACAGCTCAGTGGGTAAATTGCTGCTTGTTGCTCAGGCCTGAGATCCTGAATATGGGTCCACACCCCAGGGAAAGTTAGACATGAGATTAGTTTCCCAGGAACTCACTGAAAACCTCCACAGCACATTCAGAAAAGCACTCTCTTAAAAAAAAAAAAAAAAAAAAAAAAAAAGATGGTGGGCCAGAGAGGTTTAGAGCACTGACTGTTCTTCCAGAGGTACTGAGTTCTCTGGTGCCCTCTTCTGGCCTGCAAGCATACAGACAGACAGAACACTGTATACATAATAAATAAATCTTAAAAAATAAATAAGACATTTGAGGAAGTACAGTTCTTCACATGTGCACACACAGGCAAGTATACACACATGAACATATACAACACACACACACAATCCCCACATTAAGAAAAAAAGCTTGGAAGTGGTGGCATGTGCCTCAATCCTGCACTGTCTCAGGAAAAAGAAAAATAGAAGAGAGAAAAAACTATTCCCACACCCCCAGCAGGAGGCCTCCTGCCTCCACTGGCACACACACGAGTATACAGGAATAATAAGAATCTTTTAAAAAGTTGTCAACAAACATCTTAACTGTCTGAGAAAGCAATCTCCAAGGCACAGAAACTGATGCCAAGGATGTAACAAATACCGAGGGCTTGCCTAGCTGGCAACCAGCACACCCACTTCAATACTCATCGCTGCCTCCACAAAAGACACTCAATTCCCACAGAGATATTTACAAAAGTTCTCACCATTAATAATATATACTAAATAAGGGTACACTGTAGTGTTTAAAACCAGCAGAATCCACTAATCTCCAGCTGAATTATAAGCCCCATGACCTAATAAATAAAAGTTCTGCCAACAGTTGATATCAAGAGTCAGGCTCTGCATTACTGATAAGGATGAACTGTACAATTACACAGCAGATAGGGCCACTGACAGTGTTACCTATTCTCAGCCTTCTTGCTTTTGCTGCCAGGACTGGAGGACCGGGATCGCCGGCCCCGGCTTCTACTCCTTGAGCGCCTCCTATCTCGGCTCCGAGATCTTCTTCGCTCTCGGCTTCTGTCTCGCTCTCTACTTCTGGAGCGCCTGAAAAGAAGAAATTTCATTTGTTTTGTGGCCAAAGGGAGTTATTATTTCAGATTATGGCTGTCCCAAACTGAAAACAGTTTCTTAAAATTAGAATCAACATTAGAGCAACATTCTCAATTCAGCTAAACAGGACACAAGTGAGGCTAGTTCTTACAAAGATCAATGGAAACGTGAGGATACAATGATATCTGCTAACAAACATAACAAGTTATAACAATAAACACTTTAAATCCACCAACTATAGCAAAGCCAATTCTCACGGACAGCACACAGCTGGGACTGCAGCACAGCTCTGGGGCACTCAATGAGCTGTGCAAGACCTTAACCCCAGCAGCGGGGGAAGCTCGAGCCCAGCAAGAAGATGCACAGAACCTGTGCTAAAAGACCAGTGAGCTGCTGGTCACTGCGTGCACCCCAACTCCACGCACCCCACTTCCTCATCTAGAAAATATGGACAATTCACTATATCTTTTTTTTTTTTTGATCGCACTAGCTTGGAACATAAGAGATCCACCTGCCTTTGATTCCCTAGTGCTCGGATTAAAGGCGTATACGACCATGCCCAGCTTCAAAGTTCTTGATCTAAAAATCTTACTATTTTATTTTCATATAAAAACTCAAATATCAGTCAGGCAATGGTGGCACATGCCTTTAATCCCAGTACTTGGGAGGCAGAGACAGGCAGATCTCTGAGAGTTCAAGGCCAGTCTGGTCTACAGAAGAGAGTAAGTTCCAGGACAGGCTCTAAAGCTACAAAGAAACCCTGTCTCAAAAAAAACAAAAAAGGTCGGCGGTGGTGGTGCACCCCTTTAATCCCAGCACTCAGGAGGAGGTGGCAGGTGGATCTTTGTGAATTCAAGGCCAGCCTGGTCTACAAGAGCTAGTTGTAAGACAGGCTCCAAAGCTACAGAGAAACCCTGTCTCCAAAACAAAACAAAACAAAAAGTTAAATGATCAATTCAGTTAATATGTATTGACTGAATGTGGGAAACTCTCTGATTTCAACGGTTCCATCTGTCAGGAACCAGTGGTCTTCAGAAGAATGTCTTACCTCAGGCGCTTCCTGTCCCTGGACCGTGATCTTCTTTTGTCCCTGCTGCGAGACCTCTCTCTCCTCCTGTCTCTATCTCTACTCCTAGAGCGTCTGTCATCTCCACGTTTACTTCTTTTGTCAGAGGGTGAACGACTCCGAGACCGACTTCCAGACCGTCCTCGTGATGCCGAGCGTTTGCGGTAGTGGCTAGAATTGTACCGAACCAAAGAGTAAACTTAGCAAGCAGCTTGTATTTTACTTCTATGTGTAGCAAATTAAAACATGTTTGATTAGGAGAAAATGAACTACGCCACAGTACATATGCAGGGGAAGTCTCGAAAGATGCCACACACAGTACCTCATGCACAGCACTTGGGAGGCTGAGGCAGGAGGATCACTATCAGGGGTTTGAGGTCAGGGTTTGAAATCTGGGCTACAACATAAAAACCTGTCAAAAGGGCTGGAATGGCAGCTCTTCAGAGGAGTTTATATTCTGGAAAAGAAGAGACCACAGGCAAGTGAAGAAGTGCACCACCACGTGTCAAGTACTGCACTGGAGACAGACAACTTGCTCAGAATAAAAGAAAGTGAATAGGAAGTATGACACTGGGAGTGGCTGCCTTCAGGACACTTGTCTAGAATGGCTTCACCACCTAAACAACAAAATGCTATTGACTTAATGTCCCAAAGTGTTAAAGCAATTAACTGTTGAGTTGTCCTTTGTATCATGTTAAAGAAGTATTTTGTTGTCTTCTCCCCCCCCCCCCCCCGTGTTGGGGGGGGATAAAAGTGTAAGGAAAATTCAATGCAAGGATTTTAATATTCACTAAAACTCCCTCCCAGTGCTATTTACTTATATTTCTGATTCCCACCCACCTAACCTGGCAAGTTGTATTTTTGTTGAAGCTGGTCCCCGACACTGACATCTTCTATCAGACAACTTGAGTTGTCACTAATAAATGTCACTAATAAAGTAACATTTTTAGAGATCCTCGAAGGAAATGAAAGCAGGAATCATGTGGACATACAGGGGAGACCTTCCAGGCAAACGGCACACAAGTAAACTCATGGGAAGGAATCTGGACTGGCACATGAAGGAATAGCAGCAAGGAATATGGTTAAACAAGTTAAGACAGTAGTCTAGTGTAGCGGCACACAACTTAATCCCACCAACTAGGAAGCAGAAACAGGCAGCATTAGTTCCAGTCTAACCAGGACTACATAGTGAGACTCTGTCTCAAAGAGAAGAAAAAGAAAAAAGAAAAACCACTCAGGAGATCAGAGAAATAACGAAGTAGTCAGAGGGTCTTACAATGATTACGTCTTTTATTGAGTACGATGGAAAGCTACTGGGCCACAAACAATGGCAGACTCCTGCAGTGCCAGCTACTAAGACTGAGGAAAGATCACGTATATCACACTTTCAATTTATGTATGTGTATATTCATGTGCCTCAGTATGTGTGTGTGCATCCCATCTGTGCAGGTACCTAAGCAACCAGAAAGAGGAATCAGATCCCCCAGAACTGGCGTCATAGGCATCTGTGAGCCATGGGGGGGGGGGGGGGGGCTAGAATTAAATCCCCTGGGTGAAAAACAGGTGCTTTCAACCACTCAACCATCTCTCCAGACCCATGAATAAATTTTCTTACAAGAAAATAGATAATAAGCTGGAAGGAAGTGGCGCACACCTTTAATCCCAGCACTTGGGAGGCAGAGGAAGGCAGATCTCAGCGAGTTTCGAGGACAGCCTAGTGTACTAAGTGAGTTCCAGAACAGCCAGTTACACAGAGAAACCATGTGTCAAAAAAAAAAAAAAAAAAAAAAGTTTAAAAAAATTTAAACCAGGCATTGGTGGCATACACCTTTAAACACAGGAGGTGGGAGACAGAAGCAGGCAAACATCAGTGAGTTCGACAACAGCCAGGATTACACATAGAAACCCTGGAAAGAAGGAAGGAAGGAAGGAAGGAAGGAAGGAAGAAAGGAACCCATTTAACCATCCAGGTTAAGAGACAATGACAACTGCTGAGATATATCAAGATCTGCAAAGAAAACAAAAACACAGCCCAGAGCACGAGCACTGACTAGATTTACTGATGAACTGAATGTCAAGTATGAGGGCACCAGGAAGAGCTGGATGTCTTCACATTTGAACAGAATAAGCAGAAAACTGAGGCTGTGCTGGGTGCACAGGCTGTGTGGTCCACCCCTGACATGTGTGAGGCCCCAAGATCAACTCACAGCAGCTTCCTCAAGAGGCTGCCATTCACAGGAGTTAATCCATTCACTTTCTGGGCCTTCTCAGGATCTATCTCCTCCTACCTCTCTCCAATCTTTCAGGAAAGCTCGGTATGTACAAAAACTGCGCTTGGTGCTGTTCTCGAGCACCCTGCTCTCCCTCACCTCTGAGCCACCACTGCTCCCTGAACAAACAAGAACATCAGCCAAGTATGGCATAAAAAATAACAGTATAAAAAATAAAAAAAAATAACAGTATAAAAGTAAGATGGGTGAAATGGGCCTTTGTAGGAAAGGTCTGGGGAGCCAGAATTTCATCTCTAAAGATCCAATGGAAACTAAGGCAAAAAATGGCAAGTTCTTATCGTTATTTTTAAAGGGTCACTCTGGTTCCAGCAATACAAATATAATAATTATAATGGCAGGATCAAGAAAGGCAATTCAGGTGCCTGGCAGTGATGGTGCACACCTTTAGTCCCAGCACTTGGGAGGCAGAGGCCAGCCTGGTCAAGACAGGCTGAGCTCCATGACAGGCCCCATAGTTACACAGAGAAAAACGGTCCCGAAAAAACAAAAGTCAGAGGCAGGAATGGGAAAACAGTGCAGAATCTAACTAGAAATGAGCAGCGTGGGTGAGAATGGGCCAAATATTGCTTCCAGATTTCTGGTATAGTAGTAGCCAGATGAAGAACAGCGTCTTCGGGAAACTTGAAAGACAGTCACATGAACTGTCTGTAGTCAAGGTGGTACAGCCTTTGCCTTTATCCAGATGCCGCTACTGGCTTTTATATCCGCAGAATTTCACGGTGCTCCACTCACACTTTGCTCAGTTCCTGAACCTAAGTCATAATGACCCCGGTAAAGTGATTTAGCACTAAAACAATGCAAAATTGTCATCCTCCCTAGGCACTGAACCAAAGTATCTTTCAGACCGGCTACATACACTTCAGTCATCTTTCAAGATAATAATAATAACCTCAAGGTCTTGAACCTGTTATCAACATCCTAAAGTTTTGAAGAATCTTTAATTATAATTATAGTTATAATAAGGTGCGCAAGTGAACAGTTTTAAAAAGACAAGAAGCGGTAACAAAGTAATACGGAATCTATCTGAGAAGTAAATGTCCATGAAACAAGTGTTTATTGCAGCCGGGCGGTGGTGGCTCACGCCTTTAATCCCAGCACTTGGGAGGCAGAGGCAGGCGGATCTCTGTGAGTTCGAGACCAGCCTGGTCTACAAGAGCTAGTTCCAGGACAGACTCCAAAACCACAGAGAAACCCTGTCTCGAAAAACAAACAAACAAAAAAAAAAGTGTTTATGGCAACCCAATAAGAGTCGGTCCTACACATATTGCAGGTGCGGTTAAAAAAAAAAAAGTCTGCCCACACGCTCCTTTTAAATGACTTAGGAAGACGACGCGCGCACGAGAGTAAACTATAGAGCGGAGTAAGCAACCTTGCAAAGGCGAAGCGAAGAGGGAGTGCAAGCCGGGGTCAGGGCTGACGGAGGTGATGAAGCTGCTCGTCGGTGACCGGGCGGCCTGAGCTGCGGAAGGCTGCTCCAGGTCAGGGGTCGACCCGGCTGTGGCAAGTACAGGGGACTCTGCGGCCCTGCGCGCCAGCAGCTCCTCCTCGCAGCCGAGGTGACCGGCTCCTCAGCGGCCACAAGTGGGGCCGCCCCACACCCGCCGCGCCGCCACCTTCACCCGCTCCCCTCGGAGCCCAAGAAACCGCTCGCCCGCGGACTCACCGAGACTCCCGGCCCATGCTGCCGGCCACGAGAAGTTCTGCGCCCTGGGAGACGATGCGCAGGCTTGTCAAGAGGACAAAGGAGGGGGGCGACAAGCCCTCTTGGTGCCGAGCGAGGACCGGCCCTACGCACTGGCCAGAGGTCCGGCAGGGACCGCCATCAGCGTGCGGCCAACGAAAACAGGATGTGCTGGCGCCGGGCGCGGAAGGAAGCAGAGGCGGAAGGAAGTTGCTGCTTCCCCACAGCGCCGCCCACCGGCTGGAGGCCGCGCGACGCCTGCCGCGCCTGCAGTGGCTCGCCGGGATTCCTCGTGCAATCTGGATGATGCGATGGAGTGGGACCTCAGCCAGGTCAGCCCTGCCAGAAACTTCTGAGTAGCCCTGCGCCAGAACTTTACTCTTGTGATCCCTCTACTGCCACACCAACCCCAGTAGATTATGTGTGACAAGTTCCACAGACTGAGGCGTTACACTCCAAAGGGAGGTCTCCTGGAACCGATTGTGGAACTCTCTAGCCGGAAAGAAATTATTGAGCCGTAGTTCTCATGACAGTTTGTCTGTTTCTATTTCCTTTTAATATTTACGAGATGTTCCTGATAGCCTGGGCCGAGAAGACGCCACCCCCTTGAAATGGGGTTACTGGCCATGACCTCTTTTCTAAAAGATTCAACGCTTTGCTTCATAATCATTTACATAATTATAAAATAATACTTTGATAAAATATCCTCCCAGCAATATACAAATTTGTATGGCTGTGCGTGTGTAGATGAGGTTGGCTTTGACATTGTGGTGTAGAAAGCATTGCTTTAAATTGAACTTTGAGGATTTTAAATAAGACAAAAGCTAGATGTTAGATAAGGATTACACATGAAAATTTATTAACTTGATGTGGACCTACGAGTCATCCATTAACTATAAGTAATATTTTGTGTTTTGTTCTGTTTAGTGATTATGATGTTATTTGTTCCATTGGTAACTGATTTTTGAACCCATTGTCCAGGATATGTAATACCTATTGATTTTGTGCTTCCTGTGCCAGGTGATTATGATAATCGTTCTTTGTAACTGCTTCACTGAACATCTTTTAAGAATTGTAATACCGGGCTGGAGAGATGGCTCAGTGGTTAAGAGCATTGGCCTGCTCTTCCAAAGGTCCTGAGTTCAATTCCCAGCAACCACATGGTGGCTCACAACCATCTGTAATGAGGTCTGGTGCCCTCCTCTGGCCTACAGACACACATGCAGACAGAATATTGTATACATAATAAATAAATATTTAAAAAAAAAAGAATTGTAATACCTGTTCTTCTTGTATAAAAACCCTTGTTTGAGAGCTGCAAAATACACTCAGCTTCAAACTGCCTCTGTGTTTGTTTCTGTTTGTCACCACCGAATCCTTACCTACCTGGTCTTTGAGAAACCACGTCCCAATAAACCCCATACCCAGCTGGGGTGGTCAGCGGCCCTCTACACTAGTGTGACACATGGTCACCAAGGAATGGCAAGCTTCAGAAACACGTGGTTAGCTTGGATGTAGATAGACACAGGATATAGACAGACACAGGATACAGAAAGACACAGGATATAGACAGACACAATAGCAGAACACACCATATCTGATCCCATAGGTTCATCTACTTGGGAGGCTGAGGCAGAAAGATCACCAGAGGCCAGAGGCCATCTTGGAAAACAGAATTTAAATGTGTCTCAAGAAAAGGGGCCTGTCAGTGGTGATGCATGCCTTTAATTCCAGTACTCAGGAGGCAGAAAAGAAGGAGAATATCTGTGAGTTTGAGGCCAAACTGGTCTACAGAGTAAGTTCCAGGACAGCCAGAGCTGTGATACAGAGAAACCCTGTCTCGGGGGTGGAGGGAGAAAGAAAGAAAGAAAGAAAGAAAGAAAGAAAGGAAGGAAGGAAGGAAGGAAGAAAAGGGGGGGCTGTGTAAAGTAGAACGTTTGAGGGGGCTGGAGAGATGGCTCAGTTGTTAAGAGCACTGCCTACTCTTCCAAAGGTCCTGAGTTCAATTCCCAGCAACCACATGGTGGCTCACAACCATCTGTAATGGGATCTGGTGCCCTCTTCTGGCCTACAGGCATACATGCAGACAGAATACTGAGAATACTGTATACATAATAAATAAATCAAATCTTTAAAAAAGAAAAAAAAAGAAAATCATTATTTAAAAAAAAGTAGAACGTTTGATTAGTGTCTTAAATTCAATTCACAGCATACAGAGGAGAATCATTGGTTAATAAAGAAGTTGCTTTGGCCTATAACAGGGCAGAATAAAACCAGGTGGGAAATCTGAACAGAGAAAGAAAGAGTAGTTGGACTCAGAGAGACACCATCAGCTTACAGAGAGATGGCTCAGTAGTAAAGAGCACTTGTTGCTCTTGCAGAAGACTCAGTTTAGTTCCCAACATCCACATGATGGTTTACAACCATCCATAGCTCCAGTCCCAAGGAATCCGACACCACCTTCTGATTTCCAAAGGCACCAGCAGCATGCAGTGTACATGTATAAGCACACACAAAACACTCATATATATACATACATATATACATATGTATATATATTTAAATATATATGTATGTATATATATTTAAATGATATGAGCCATTAGCTTCTGCTCCAGCTACCATGTCTGCCCTCTGCACTCTAACTCTCTAGAAGCATAAACCCAAATAAACTCTTCCTTTATAAATTGCCTTGATCATGGTGTTTTGTTACATCACTAGAAGAACAAGAGATATGATCACTAGTTACACGTGTTTGCACTATTGCACTGCTGGCTAAATGACTCGGATCCCACTTGAACATTTCTCTTCTAGCTCGCTTTTAAAAGGTACTTCTGAAGAGCTGAAGAATGGCTCAGGGGCTAAGAGCATTTGCTGCTCTTGTGGAGACCCTGGGTCCAATTCCCACCATTCACATGGTGACCCACAACCATCCATTACTCTAGCTCCTAAGGATCCAATGCCCTCTTACCTCCATAGGTACCAAGTACATACATGGTACACATATACACATACACAAAACACATAAATTTAATAAATCTCATTTTAAAAATCCTTAAAAATTCTTAGGCATGTAGCTCAATGTCCAAGCACTAAGCTAGGATGCACAAGGCTGGAGTTTGCAGCACAGCAAGACAGGGCCAACAAAAAATACTTGTGAAAATTTGCAACTGTGCTTATGCACAGAGAAAGTACAATTTTTTGGGAACTTGAGAGATGCTAAACAGCTAAGAGCAACTGCTGTCTGCTCTTGCACAGTTCCCAGCACCCACGGGGAAGCTCTTAATGCCTAGAACTCCAGGGGATCATATTCCCTCTTCTGGCCTCTGCAGGTCCCAGATATGCACATGGTACACAGATATGCAGGCAAACATGCATACACATACAATAAAAATCAATAAATCTAAACAAAAAAAGAGATAAATACAAGGTGCACAGAATATGAACTCTAAAAAAAATCATTCATTTGTATAACTCCGTCACCACACAGATGTCAGATTCGATGCTAGGCAAGCATTCTGTCACTGAGCCACACTACAGTCACATGTATGAACTTTAACTGTTTCTTTCTTTACTATTTGTACATTAACCCAAGGAAGAATGAGGATGGCTACCTCATACAGGCCTTGTGTTAAAATTTTTAAAAATAAAATGTGCAGTCTCAACACTAGACAATTCAGTTCCATTCGCTTTATTTTTAGGATGCTTTCTTTCACTTCTCAGGACAGGATGACACAGATACACGTCGCGGTCCTCTAGGCAGGCTGACACCAGCTCATTTACTCCCCTACAACAGGAGGACACACATACACGTCGCGGTCTTCTAGGCAGGCTGACACCACGCTCATCTACTCCCCTACAAGTACTAGCCGGGTCCCACAGAGGGACTACAAACCTCAGAAGTCAGGGGAAAGAGAGAAGACTGGGTTTCTAATTAAACAAGAAAAACCATTAATGACATTGTTACCCTATTTAGTTACTCATACCTGTACTGATACAAACTCAACCCTTTTAAACCAGGGAAACTAATCAATTGGTCTTCAGTAAAGAAAAAGAATTTCATAAAGGTATAAACCAATTTGTCCCCATTAGAGACAGTGAGTGCAATGTAGGAGGGAAACTGTGTTCACTTGTAAACTTCTTCTGAGTTCCTTGAGTTTCAGGGTACTTCAGAACCCCAATAATCAAGCAGTTCATGACAAAAAATGAAAGTGAAAAAGTAGACACAGAGATCCGTGAAAACCTCGCCCATCTTGCTATAGGTCTCCATGGAGCGATTGATCACTTCAGCAGGAATGCCAGACAGCAAGAGTGCAGCTGCCAGCACTGTGGTCTTGACCTTCTTCTCACCCTGGATCAAGGAAAAGACAAGTTAACCTCAGGCCCTCAGCACACATGTGGTCTACACAAACACAGCCCTCAGCACACATGTGGTCTACACAAACACAGCCCTCAGCACACATGTGGTCTACACAGACACAGCTCTCAGCACACATGTGGTCTACATACACACAGCCCTCAGCACACATGTGGTCTACACAAACACAGCCCTCAGCACACATGTGGTCTACACACACAGCCCTCAGCACACATGTGGTCTACACAGACACAGCTCTCAGCACACATGTGGTCTACACACACACAGCCCTCAGCACACATGTGGTCTACACAGACACAGCCCTCAGCACACACATGGTCTACACAGACACAGCTCTCAGCACACATGTGGTCTACACACACAGCCCTCAGCATACCACGTGGTCTACACAAACACAACTGCTGCTGCTCTCTCTCCCCCCACTGTTCCCAAAACAACACACCAAGCTGGGCGATGGTGGTGCACGCCTTTAATCCCAGCACTTGGGAGGCAGAGGTGGGTGGATTTCTGTGAGTTCGAGACCAGCCTGGTCTACAGAGCTAGTTCCAGGACAGGCTCCAAAGCCACAGAGAAACCCTGTCTCGAAAAACCAAAAAAAAAAAAAAAAACCCCAAACAACACACCAACATTTACTAAGCATCGAAGAGGTAAATCAGTCAATTTTAGGCAATAGCAGACAACAGGACCCCCAGCAAGTTTTATAACTGTATCATTTTGGCCAGGCATGTTGGTGCATACTTTTAACCCTAGCACTTGGGAGGCAGAGGCAGGCAGATCTCTAAATCTGAGGTCAGTTTAGTATCATAG